CGGTACACGACACCGATTCCCCGACAGCCTTGCGACGGTGGGTTTCAGGATAATTTCATTTTCATTTTTGCCAATAGTTTCAAGTTCTACCGAGGAGGGCTCGAAGTTGGAGAGTGGAGGCGCGCCGGCCAGAGGACTGGCGCCTTTTTCACACTATCATCCTGTTGGCTTTGCAAGAGACATTCCTAGTAGCATGGTAACATTCTAAGATGGAGGGAAAGCGACTTCGCTGCGGAAAGGTCTGCGGTGCGCAGGTTGCTGTAAGCGAGTCGGCAGAACAGCCTGAGGCATCTGCATTTGCCACGTTCCTCCCGAGCTTTTGAGGCGCATTCTTGATCTCGTCTTGGAAGGCGATGCAACTTGTAGCAGGGCTTCGTGTAAGCTGGTGTGCAGGGAGTGGCGGGATCAATTACGAAGCGCTGCTACTAGGCTGGTAAGTGGAGGAGCTGGCAAGTACAGAGATTTAGAAATGGCGCTGCAAAACAATCTGCACATTGTGGACCTAGCAGTCCGGAATGGACATAAGGACCTAAAGGGCAGAGTTTCCGATCAGAAGTATGACGTGCTTTCCCGTAGAGCTTGGTCCATTGTGACTCTATGCCCAGACAAAGGATCCCAACGAGGCCCCAAATCCCTTCCCACATTCTTAGCAGCTTCGCATGATAGCCTGACGAGCCTTACCCTTGGAGATATCTCCCTTGATGTGGCTGATTTTGCTCAGGCCTTGATGGGCTCAGCAAGTCTGCGGAAGCTCGTTCTACGAAGAGAGTGCCTCACGGCCCCTGGGATTACGGGACTGCTGAAGAGCTTGGATCCTTTGACAGGTCTGAAGGAACTTCATCTGGAAGCTCATTTCAGTAACAGTAGGGGGGGCTTGCTACACATGTTGACCGATCATACTCTTGCCGTGCTACCTTCCAAATTCCCAAACCTTAAGATCCTGTCTCTCCACGCGTGTCTCTTCAGCATACGTGAGCCTTTTGAAAGGCCTGTTCGGTTTGACAACGCTAAGGATGGAGTTTATGGAGGTCCACCGTTTGGACACTGTCCCCGCTATTGTGGCACAACACTCTCCTCAACTAAGGGAATTGAGTTTAAGAGCCTGGGGGGAAAGCGGGAGCTCGCACGTCTTTGAGAGTGGGGTGATGGCTGCTCTGGAGCAATGCTCCTCTCTCAGCACTCTGAGGTTGCCAAGAATGCCAATGACTCTTGAGAAAGGGCCGATGGTTCTAGGGAAGATGGGCAACATTGAGGCACTAGAGTGTTACTTGAGCGACTGTAGTCCCTCGTTGCTTGGGACCTTGGTGAAGTTGCGTCACTTGACATTGACGGATGTTTGCAACGATCTGGATTCGGTGGCAAGGGTCGTCAAGCACTTGCCCCACTTTTCCAAGCTCAGCATCTTGAATCAGACGCTTCAGCCGCAGCAGGCTCGCTCCTTGCAAGCCCTTTTGCCCGGTGTTACCTTGGAATATGGAAGGCCCACATTTTAGGAAGATCTACTAAGTCATGGCTTTTGGTTGTCGATGGTCTAGAGCACTGGGAGTCGGTGGCGGCTGGATGGGACATAGCGTATCTGGCGGATTCGGTTGCAGTGCCAAAATCTGAAACGGCCACGCTACCGGAGCATTCGACAGGCTAGTTATTGAGCGGTTGAGTATTGTGTAGACCCGGGTCTCCACAATACTAGCTAGTGTATCAACAGACTGTAGGCCTGCATTTTGTAAACTTTTAATAGTTGGGCCACGTACCCGATCTGCGTCGATGGTAGCTTAAACAACCAGCCGACAACGATCTACTGTCTGATCTACCATGTTAGCAGGCTCGTCAACCGCTTGTTCTTGTTTCCATGATTCGTTCAATGAATCTAGAAAAATTCAAGGCTGAAAAAGATTCTGTTCATGAGTCGGCGCATAAAACAGTGGTTGGCATTTAGCTCTTCAGTGTGATACAAGAATCATGACCATGCACCGTGATAGTTCATGTTGCTGAGCAACATTCTATCTCTTTATTGTATTCACTTACTGCAGACTCGGTTAATTCTCGGTTGAGCACTACAGCTCAAGAATTAGCTCTGCCACATGCGCCGCGGCGCCATGGCATGCAGCTGAGCAAGCTAGCTAACATGTGATTCCATACACCCGGTATCAGTGGGCCCACAATGATCTTGTGAATCAAGAATTAGTATGTACAAACATAAAATTACTCATATGTCTGTGCCGATGATACCGTCACATGCGTATAGTCCGATCGGGCAGCGCTGCAGCTGAGTCTAGCCTCGGTCACGTGCACATGTGTGCATGCATATAATGCGGCAATGATTTACAGCATGGCCTATAGCGGGCCTATTATACCCTGCCTGCATGTGCCGCCTAAGTCATGCTTGCATATATGCATATGCGACTAGAAAACATTTAGTTGCGGCTCTGCCCGGCACTGGCATCTCAATTTGAACTAGATCAGTATATGTTGGCCGCGCTGTGACGTACTTATAGCTCACCGGCCATATAATTCAATCGATGCACATGATATATGTTAATTTGATTACTCTATCTTCGCGGACGATTAGTGACAACCGTCCGACTACTGATTATATGCAAATCGATCTGAGCGCAGATTTGAGTTTATTTGTATGCCATGGCCGTTGGATTACCGTATACCGGTACTAAACACGGCAATCGGTCATGACACTGTGCCATATGTCTTCGACAATAATTTAGGCTTGCAGTGGATGCCAGTTCACATTAATCCGACAGTTACATAGATGCGAATATAAGTGAAACCGAACTTATATATACAGCCCATGCAGCATTCGATGAGCTAAGTGCAATGTGATATTGCAATTGGCAGTGTGCAAGCGATCAACTGAGTGCACAGTAGGTCGCGCTCAGTAACGTATATATGGTATATGGCATACCGAGCAAAGGTGTCTGCATGCAAACCGAAATGTCCAGCCTATACTGGTGGTGTGAACGTACTTGGGCGTTTGTTCCTGACAGATTGAAGAATCCTGAAGCAAGCCTGACGACAAGACCAAAATAGTGCAGGATGTCACTTACCGTACTTGATATCAACACCCTATGCCACGTGGTACCATGAGCAACGCTCTTGTAAGATGGGGCGTACAATGAGCGCTGCTGACCACAGAGTTGACTGCTCATGCACTAAGATGCTGCATATATGGCGGCACAGATTGCTTGAACGTGTGCTGGCAGGACCGGACCTAATATCTACATACGTTTTACACCTAATATTCTATGTTGGATTTTAAGAATTGGACAATCCAAGATCACGACTTTGATGCATACCAGGATACTCCATTAAATGGAAGGTGTAAAAGACTTGCACAAATCACCAAGGTCCCGGCGCAAGGGTATGACGTCTCTAGAAGCACTGCAAACGACGGCGAACGTTAGAGACTGGGACATTTCGTCCATCAGACGAGACTAAGTACAAGCGCTATGAAGGAAGGTGCACCGCAGATTATTTTCCTCCTAGAGCGAAGACGGAGTTCACGCAGCTGGGGATGCCTGCAGAAAGTTCATCTCGAGGCAGCTTCTTGTCTTCTTCGTGTGGAAGATGACAATCCTTTTAAGCCCACGCTTCGTGTTGAGCAAGACAGTCTGTGCAGACATGTCCATGCGAAACGACTTTTTACTGTTCTTATCTAGGTGCCACCTTGATTGAAAGATGGGAGAAATTCCCAAAAAATGGTGGTTGAATTTGTACACCAGGACGACACTCGCATCCAACGGAACCTGAGGAGCTCCTTGACTCGTTGAACCTGCTCAGCCGAAAAGGAAACCTGCAACGACCTATTTCGACTTGCGACTTGTCTCGAAGCAGTCACGACGAAGGGCTTTCCAAACCAACGATGGTGGGACGAAATGCAAGGATTAACGCACCTTTTAGGGCCGTGACGTTTGAAGTCAGAACAAAGAAGTCGAGGAGTACGACCATCGCCCGCTCGAACCTCCAAATCTGGACAGAGAAAAAGAATCAGCTTAGAGAAGATCGGCGGTTGATCGCATGGCTGTTTATCCATTCTGTGCAAGGCCTTACTTACAGCTACGGTGGCCTAGAGACAAAAGAGCCAAAGCTTTGACTGGTACTTCGTTTTGACGTTTTTGAGTTACTTGTTTTGAAGTTCACTCCCGGAGCCTCCGTAGAGTCGGTTGACCAAGACCCGAATGAAACGAAACGGAAAATGCAGATAAAGCAGCCCGGGTTTGCGACACCCTGACGTGGCTAGCAGATATTGACATGACAAGAAAAGGCGTACAAGATTCCCGGCGGATGAAGCGTCTCTTTTCTGTATCACACGTTGAAAATATGGAACCACATTTTTTATAACTTGAGAATACTGTTGTCCGCTTTCCTTATTGCTGAAAGGACCCTTGACGATGCAAACCACTTTATAGTGACGACTTTAGTTTTTGAGGGGATGCACGCATTCTGGTCTCCTTCTCGGGCCGTCACTTCCAAATTGCTGATCAATCCCGGGTAATCTTGCCGCAGCACCGACTTAAGGCTGACTTTCCGACAGGCTGACCCTAGCCGCCTGATCGACAGGCAAAGGACCATTAGACTGACCACCTCAATTGTGGTAGAGAGCACAACTCAAATTCTGGTGAGGCGGCCAGTTTGACGAGTTGCCAATTGGCTGGTCGTATCTTTCTGCGGCCATCGTCATTGCAAAAGAAGTTCGTGTAGGGGCACGCAAAAGCGGATCGCTCGCATTATCAAGTCGGGGACAACCGGTTGAAGACCAGAACAGCTCAAGTGAAAGTTGCAAGAGCCGGGGTTCGAATCCCATTCTGCCTCAGGATTAGCGTGGACAGTGAAAGCGAGAAGAGTTTTTTCAGTCGCTTATGAGAAAGTGACCGACGAAGACCAGCTCGAACGACACTTCTACAAGGAAGCACGTTCGGGAGAGTCTGGGCACTGACCAGCATAGGAATCGCGAACAGCTTGAAGAAGCTGGAGACATGGACGGCCAAGAGGACGTCTAACCACCTGCAATCCGGACGACGACTGCGGTTTGCGTTTCTCTTTCTTTCTTAACGCAAGAAAATGGGTTTGACTTCTCCAGAGGACACAGGCAACCTCTACGCCGCCGCTTAAGAACGTTGTACATGCAGAGACGATGCTTCAGACCTGTCAACTGCGGTGCAAAGCGGCGCAGGACTGCAAGAGGCGGGACGGATCCTGCGGCTAATATGCCTTTGCTCTGGCGAGGCAACAGGGAAAAGCACGACTTACAGGGCTGGACGATCACGTCAGAACATGCCACTGTAAAAAGTTTTGCCCTCCCTTTGACGTAACGCGTGACGTCACTCAGCGAAGCAGCCACGTAGCTCTTACCTGCGCTTCGGAGCCAGCTTCCAGTGGTGGACAAGGAGGAGGATGACTGCGGTGTACGGAAGGGTACCCAGCACGAGCTCCGTTAGGAAACACTGCGCAGAATGGGTCCAGAAACTCAGTTACAGAAACGGTTGAGCGGGACTCGTGATTGGATGCCGATTTTTGGTCTGAAGCGACTGAAGTGTTACGGCAGTACTGACTTCAAACAAGCGGGAAGCGGGCCGGGGACGCGGGCACCTGTTCTTGTATAACAACGATTTTGACCTTCAGAGCTCATGACTCGGATTCAAGTGACATTTCTCGCCAGACTACACTGCGCACGCGGAAATACGGTTCTCAACCCGCGAAACCCCCAAAGGACACCAAAGACTGTAGATCAATCTTTGCGAAAGAGGAAAGAGCATGCGAGGTTGCGAGAGCCATGTTGGTGTTCATTCGTTACACGAAGAAAAGTGAGCAAATAGCCGGACCCCATTTATGACGTCGAGGGTACACGTCGTGTCGAAGCTTCGTATTACATGAGGTTCGCACCGATTAGACTTTCTGCATCTCCCTTCTGCACGCAACTTGGCCTCGAAAGCGTCGCAGACGGCACTTCATTGCGCTCTTCAATCAATCGAGCCTTCGGAGTCTCCACCAGGATGTCGCACGCATAAGTCTCAGACTTCATTACGTAAAACCCAATTGGAGGGGTTAGAGAGGCTGAAAAGTCAATTGCTGGCAAGAGATTATGGGAACCTTTGCGGCCTTTGTACTCGCTTCGCAATCTTCAGTTGGAAGCAGACATGTCCTCACGGCAGACGTTTTCCGCACGTTTCCCTCACGGCCACGTATCAGATGGAATGCCTTTGGAGTATGAGATAAGCCGCCTGGTAATCAGAAAGTTTCACAATGCTCTTGACTTACCCGGAAGAAGCTAGACAAAGTTGGCCAGATTGGGCCGTCGAAGATCGTCGTTGCTTTGTGATCATGCAACCACCTCTTTCCTGCAACCAGAAGCTCGGTAAGAGATTGGTTGAAAGCTCGTTTCAGAGAACAGTTGAGACGAGCAGATTTATAAGACGATATCTGCCCGTAGGTGAAGCGATTATCTAATCAAAGTGGATACTCGAACAAATAAACGGAGACAACAACAAGGACACCGAGGCGGGCGAAAAGGGATGACTTTGGAAGACGTACACTTGGACTGAGACAACAAAACCTCACAAGTGTACTGCTAATGGTAAGTGAAAAGTTTGAGCGAGCGCCTTACAAGGGAGCCGAGAGCACTGTTGAAATGGGCCATGCGCTTCGGTCAGATCAGAAGCGCAGCTGACCGAATCCGCTGGTCTCAAGCGGCGTTTCATAACCGTTCTAGCAGCTTCGCAATGAGCTGGCTTGACGCAATCACACAAAAAACTGCCGACTTCAAGCTGGGACGCATTCTGAGGGGCTGTACATGTCAAAGCTACGAAAGAAAGGTCTAAAAAGTCAGCAAGTTGAGCCAGCCCTCGTTGCTCCTACAGCTGAAGCGGCCAACTAAAAGCAAAATGTGCTTACCTGAATCAAGGAGGAGGATAGCGATTGTCGACTTCCAGAGGTACCCCTGCAGTCTATAGGAGAAAACGGCTTACTTGAGGCTTTCTGAGCGCTTTATAGAAGAGGCTTTCAGGGAGGAAACGAAAGACTGCAGACGGCCAGGAAGCAAAGGGTAGCTTATCCTAGAAAAGGGATGGCACTAAAATTCCTATCCTGGGCAGATCGTCAGCAAGCCGCTCCATCATGCACTTTACTGCACAGAGGTATACGGCATATTCCTCCAAGAATCGAGCAGGGAGAGGAAGCTGAAACGAGTCAGTTGCCAAAAGTCGGGTTATGCAGCATCCAACTTGTCGTTGACAATCGAGTGTTTGCCCCACACCCACCTTCAGGTTTTGCCGGTGCTGAAGAGGGACGTTAAAGAGGAGGTGACGGTATGCTCTCTCCCTATGCAAGACGAGGTCGATCCAGACAACCTGTAATAATTTAAAAACTGATTCTGATCTCAGCCATGCGATACCAGAAAAGTCTGCTCTCCAAATCAGTAGGTCAGGGCTCTAAGATTTCGTGTTTGATCTGTTGCCTCTATAGCCGCTGCACTTGACTCCTGTCTGTGTGGAGCGTCCTTGTTATACCACAAACTTCAGACTATTAATGTCATTAGCAGATGACATTAGAGGCAACAAGCAGGGCACTAATAAGATAGTCCTTTTAGTGTCAGCAAGTACTGGGCCATGGTCTGAGCAGGGTAGATCCAAGTGCCAAACACGCACATATATCACACGATCAGCCTGCTTAAATGACGAACACCTTTGTCCCCCTCAAGAAACCAGATGCTACTGCCAACTATAGGGCCAACTTATCACTTCTCAACTTCACAATAGAATTGTGATCCTATCATCTATGCTGTTTAAAGCAGTACGTAAAGCCAGCAGCTTGTGATCTTTCAAAGGCTAAAGGGTTTCCTCACTCACCATCATCTCGTGCTCGACGTACTCGTCAGCATAACAATGGCAGCGGTCCTGCAACAGGGTGTGCAGAGCGGTTGAGCCTTCAATGTTTTGGATTTGTAACAACAATGGTATTACCTCTGCTTCATTGCCCACCAACGTAGAATAGACTCTAGACTCTCTGACCCTTCGATCTTATCTGCATCTATATCTGCTCAAAATGGTGAGATGGTGAGGCAAACCTGACACTTTCTATCAAAAGTTTTTAGAGAGCGTTGTTCCGTCAACTTGCTGAATCAGTGTGCTTTGTCTAAGGCCTATTGATACCAGGGAGCATATTTGACAGATTATATGAAACATTCAATGAACGCATACTGAAAGGATACAACCGCGCCTTGCTCGTTCAGAAGTGTTGCACTGTAAGGGTTGCTTACACAGCGTGTGAGCTTGATGTTGCCGGGTGAGTATTCCTGGTAAAGACTGGGGACCACATTGCTGCACTCAATGCATCGAAGAGCGACTGCAGATTCATCTGCCATCTTGAGGGAGGGGTTGCTACATATGGCCACACTAATCAAAAGGTCAATATGCCACCAAAGAAGCTCAATGTGGCCACCAGCGCACAAGAAAGTAGAGCTACCGCATGTAAGCTACTAGATGAAGCATTGCTGAGATGGGTTTGCTGGCAGCACATATGCGGTGGGTTCAGTCGTCAAGTTGAGCATGTCTCCTGATAGACGGCATGGTGGTTCATTGCTGAATATAGTAGCCAGAGATTTCCGTGTGCCAGCTGCACGCCTCTCTATTTCTAACCGTTTTTCAGCGCTCCCTTCTCACAGCTCAGATAAGGTTGCGGCTAGACCATTGCAGCTGATCGTTGGCAGCCATCAGCATTGTGATCACCATTACATTCTTGCCCGGCCTGCATCCTTTTCTGCGCCCATAAGTGAGAAAACAAAACGATAGACTGAAGAGATTAGGCCCTAAAACAGAATTTAGGGTTCTCTTTTGGAGATTGACTCCTAGAGCTCTAGCTGTCTCCCGCGCGCGCACGGCCGGGAACCGTAGGTTCCGACAAGCTGCCGCGAAGGCGGCCGCGATCCCCCCGATACAAACTTGAAAGGCCCAAAGTCACGGTTCAAAGCCCCAAACCCTTCTACAAAACCGAAGCGCAAATTCAAGTCCGTCCGATGCGAAAGGAATCACCACTGATCGTCGATGCTCCCGCAAACATTCGAAATATAAAATTTGATACAAACTTTACCGCTCCAGACTCCCTCCACAGACTTGACTCACAGATCAGTCACAGCAAGTCACAGATGCACAGACTGCAGCCCAGTCCACACTTTGAGTCCTGCGTCTTCAATCTGCATTTCTTCTTCGTTGCTCACAATCGCCTTTCAAGGATCATTTTGAGAAGAACGTCCTGCAGGCTGCATCACTTTCAGAACAGGAGGGAAGCACATTTCCACAATTTGGCCGCTTCTGCTTCACAAGCATAGACTTCCAGGTATATCCTTCAGGCGCTTTGCTTTTTCCCTACACCGCCGTTTGCCGCTCACAGCAGGCAGAATGGACTACACCAACCGCTTCTTCTCCGACGCCGCAGCACAGGAGAGTCCGGCTGAGCAGATGCATTTTGCATTCTCCTCCCCAGCATCAAGGTCAACCTCTTCCAATCCAAGCAGCAGCAGTATTTACGAGGATAGAGAAAACATTGATCCAGTCACTCTGAGATCAGCACTCACCGGCAGGCGGGTTTTGGATCGGGAGGAGCCATCAGTCAGCGGCGCAGGACAACCCCGTCTGGTAGATGCAGAGGGCAACGATCTTCCACAGTCCAGGAGTCCACTTCCAGAGAACTATCCCAGGGTCCCTCTTCAAGACATCACTGCAGTCCTGGAGCAGGTATGTCACCTAGTGCTTTGGACTTGTTCTGCTTTACACCCAAGGGGACCAGTACGCCGTCAGAGGCACTCCATTTGTTGCATGCCTTGTTTTCTGCTCCAAGAGGATGGGTTGTCAGTAGATGGGCAATAAGGAAGGTTTCCGTTGTTGGCTCCTTTTCGGAATCCAGAAGTTTTCACGAGTAGGCTCATAAAGAGATTCATCTTGCGGATTGCTTGCTGATTGCATGTGAACCAAACTTTGGGATTGATTTTGCACATTTTGTTCTGGCCTGGAAAGTGGTTTGAGTCTTCAGGAGTAAGTGCATTGTAGCAGGATAAAGTTGGTCAGGAGGCTTGGATTTCGTCTGACCGCATGTGCGGCAAATGTCTGTCGAGTATTTCATCTGTCACCCGTGAGTGCAGCAGGAAGATAGTGGATACAGCATGACTTTTCTTGCAGTGGCCCAAAAGGATGAAACCAGAATATGGTTGGCAATCATAACAAGAGCAGATTTCTTACCAGCCCTTGCAATTTCTTTTGATAGCCATTCTCAGATTCCATTGTCCGTGCTCTTAAATTTCTGCTTCATTTTTGCAGCAAGAGTACGAGAAAGCACGAGCAAAGGTCAAAGCAGCCGCCGTGGCCAAGTCCTTTGCTCTTGAGGGTATGATGCGGGGAGGGGCGTCGTCAAAAAGCAGCACCAGCAACCAGTCAAAAGCACGCCAACTTTCAATGAGCAACTCATCAAGAAGCACGCAGCTGCGGAGTCTTCGGTGACATCGACACTGTAGTGTACGGGACAAACCGATGGTTGAGGCTGCTCTGGTTAACTTATCCCTGCGTTTCTGACGAAACATGGTTGACCTTCAGGGAACCAGCAGGACCAGGTTGAAGGGCAGGAAAGAAATATTTATTCAAGAGCCCTGTCTGGCTGTAAGACAGTTAACACGATCACAATGTAATAATTTGATCAAGGTGGTAAGAAGGCAGAACGGTGAAGAGACTCTCCACTTAGGGATTGAGTTGAAAGTGCCTACCGGCCTAGTGAGGTCAAGCTGCACTGCAAGTACCTTCAACGAGGACCTTCACTTGACGATTAGTGGTACACTTGTATGTTTGGTAACGTAACTGAAATCTTTAAGCGAGAGGCCTGTGCTAACCTTCGAGAGTTTCTAAGTGGGCTCTCGCAATCATCAGGGGTTGTCCAACGTTTTTTTGTTTGATTGAGCATAATGTTCGCACGCCTCTGACTATTCTGCAGTGGAATCTGGCACATGCCTTTGCCAAAGCTTATGCTATGGTCACCATCCACTAGTTCTGTGTTCATGGACCAGCGCGCCTGCTCCCCGTTGCATGGATGGACATCAATCATGTGCATGTCGTTTTGCGCATTGACCATATTGCGAAGTTTCTTGTTTACTTGGTTACCCAACATTGTAAAGGCCTCGTGATGATGCACTGAGCCATGCTTTCCAGAAGTATCGTTCAAGCATACGTATGATCGGTGACTGTAGTCTGTAGCATTGGTATGAGCTGCGACATAAACTTATATTCAATGTGTCACGCAACTGATTCATATGGCGCGATTGATACGTTCAGTGCATGCCATGCAGTCAATACCTGCATGGCGCGCGGCACGCAATTTGGCCCGATGGGATGACTCAACAGCTAGGCGACTCTAAGTCCGTTCGATCCACAGACTTCAGAAGCATGGACCGTTTGATCGCGGTCATTTTTGTCAGACATGCATCATTCACATTACCATCATTCACATCCGGCCAAATATGACGAGTCTGGCACATATGCGCGCGGGCCAGGGCGGGCAGTACATGCACTGAACATATATTGCTTCAGGCGCGGTTGAGCAGCTTTAAGCAAGTAAGTTACAAAATCTTTGATTGCCACTGCAAATTTGAAAACATGCGAGCCAACCTGACCTTGATTGATCACAGAAAGTTTTGACAAATTACCTATCGCGGCTCAGTGTTCGACTGGATTCACAAATTATGCTGTTCAATCCCTCCAATGTTCCTACTACTGCGGCACCTGAAGCCACACAACCTCTTCTTGGTACGCCTCTTTTCCCTTACACGACTTGCCACATGTGTATACCGCTATTGTCCCCCAGTCCAGAGTCTCCGGGTCGCTGCTATCGACGTGCATGTAGTACAGCAGCTGAGGCAGCACTTGGAACTCAAAGATGCGCTCGCTGCCGCACTCGGGACACGGTGGGATGCCTTTCTCGGACGGCCGATGGTCGGACGACGGCCACAGCGGCTTTGCGTCCGGTGAGCGGCAGTACCTGCGGGAAGATTGAGTCCTCTGAGAAAGAGAATTTGCGTCCGAGTGACCAAAGGTGTAAAGAACACCTTGCTAGATAGAGCAACTGTCCCCAGCAATACCAGTGCAGCGACACTTCTCTTGAGAGAGGGTATTATTGGACTTAGACCTGTGTCCGGAGAATGACGTCGTAAGGATCGGAACCCTTTCTCGGCGTGTCTTCCAGCGTCACAACTCTTTCCAAGGCGTAATGACATGCCTGGCTCGATGCCGAAACGCAAAAAGCTAGTGCATCTCCCGGCAAAGGGCATCGCCGAGCCGAGAACAGCACTCTTCCAGGAGGAAAATCAACACTGCCATTTACAAATACGCTTCGAAGGCCCAAACTACAAAAACCTCCACACACCTGAAAGAGGGCTGTCCTCCTGCTCTGGTATGCAGGATCAGATGGCAAACCGCCGCACAACAGATCCCCTATCTCCGAATCCGAACGACACAATACGAATACCGCACCCGACTTCCAGTCGTCACCTTCGATGCCAAATACTACTATGAATTCTTTCATCAATCCGGCAGACCTAGACTCGACTGCCAAAAAGCACCCAGTACCGCTCCTGATAACTCCTCAAGTTCACCCTTGACAGAAACTTTTCTCCATCTCGCTCGAGCAAAAGGGTTAAGAGTACGAATCTCAGTTGAGGCAGCATAAGCGTGGGCTCACCTCAAGACCTGCTCGGGCGCGGCTGCCAGCCGCGCCTCAAACGCCGCCCACTGCTTCTTGTCGCCCCCCATATCCCGCATCCCCGCTTCAGCCTCTTCTAAATCCTCCTCGGAAAACTCCCTTTTCTTTTCCACCCGCCGCCCGTACTGCTCCAGCAACGCGGAAACGTCGCTTAACCCGCTGTTAACCCTTCCGCTAACCCCGGCTTCCGATTCGCCCTGGTAGTCCCCCTCGGATTCGACGGCAATTTCGAGCTCCGGCCATAGCTTCGGGTCGAGCGCCCAGGGCTTAACCACAGCGGTTAACTCCGCGGTTCTATCCCCGCCCGTCTCTTCAGTATTCTGGTTCTTCCCTGCCCCGCCTTCTGAAGCGGACTCAAACTTTTTCTGCGTCTGGCCGGACGGCCCTGCACCGCTGACGTCAGCACCGCTGTGCTGCGACTCTGTACTGCCGTCGACGTCACGTTGCCTGCCACTAGCAGAACCGACATCAGCCTGCCTCAGCTGACCGCCCGAACTGGGCCCCAGGTCTTCGCTCCTTATCCCAGTCTCTTTGAGCCCCTGTTCGGGGGCCCCCGCGTTCCCATCTGAAGCAGCCCCGCTCTGCCGATCGGTCCCAGCCTCCCAATCTACGGGGCTTGCAGGAAATCCAGCATCGTCCACGCCAAGCGCCGCAACCCTCTCTGTGACGTCAGCCGTCTCTCGCGTGACGTTATCTGCCCCCGTGCTACTGGCAGCCCCGCCGTCCCGACTCTCGCTCCGCGCTTCCTGAACCTTCTCCGACTCCGTACTCGCACCGCTCTCCTCCTTCCCTCGGGTTCCATGTTCTTTTATTCTCTCAGCGTCCCCCCCTTGACCCATCTCCTCTCGGGTACTGATTCCTGCGCTCTCTATCCCAGCTCTCGGGTCTACTTCCGAGCTGGTCCCTAAAGAGGCCGCTTCCTGAGAACCGCTCGCAGCAGGCCCCTGGACAGCTTCCGTCGAACACCTCGCAACTGTGTCCCGCTTACCCAACGGTTCAGCGTTCCTTGACCGCGTTTCTTCAGCGGCGTTGGACGCTTCGGACGGCCCCGCCTGTGCGTCTGCCCGGTCGCTTACGGACGGCGCACGCTTGTCCAGCCGCTTGCACGCCACTGAGTGACCGGCCCTCCAGTGCTCGACCTGGGGAGACGGGAGGAGCCGCCGTTCAGTGCAGTGGATGCTTGGGATTGATCTTGTCACGTTTTGGTGTCAAGAAGGCTTACATTCCGTTACTCAATCGAGATCCGTTGACAGTCCATTCTGTGAACTGCCAGAAAGGGAACTGAGTATTCTGGAATCTCTTTGCAGAAAACAGATCTCTTTCTGGCCAGAAATGTATTGGAGTGAGGCACTTTTCGAGCCGCCAAAGCAGAAACAACGTCCAATGACTCTTCTGAGAACACGGAGAAACCATGGACGAAATTCGTGCACAAGAGTCGTGCCAAATACCTGGTGGTCTTTGGAGCAGTAGGAATGATCCCGGCACCCCCCGCAGCGCTTGTTCGCCTCCCAGGCTCCGCACCAGTCGCACAGGGGGGCGGCGGGGCCGGCCGGGGGGAGAGTCCCGGGCTTGGCCGGCTGGAACGAGTAGAAGGGGTTGGAGCGTGGAAGCTGGCACCGGAAAACCCGGACACTGCAGCAGAGAAGGGGAAAAGAATCTGGTGTCAACAAGATGGAACAGAGGGACGAGTGGAAGGGGATGGAGCGTGGAAGCTGGCAATCGGAAAACAGGACAGTGCAAAATAGAAGGAGACAAGGATTCGGTGTCATCAAGCTGGAACGGAGGGACGAGTGGAAGGGGTTGGAGCGCAGAAGCTGGCACCGGAAGACCCGGATACTGCAGCCGGAGAGGGAAAGTGAGATTCGGCGTCATACGGTTTGGGGAAACTGGCTCAAGAAGATATGATACATGGGGCATTGATATCGCCACGCTGGATTGAGAAACTCACAAACGAAATGACAATTGCATTTGATGGAGGCGGAAGTTAGTAAGAGCGCCCATGGTTGGTCTGCTGTGCTTCGGCGAACCTAGCCCGAAGAATCGGTTCTGCCCACGACCAATTGCACTGACATTGCTCTGGTTCACCATCGACAGAATGTTCATATGACTGTCCGACAGAATGTTAATATGACCGTGCGACAGAATGCCAACGTGACCGTCCCACAAAGTCCTGCCCCCAGGCCCCAGCCGAGGCCCAACCGTTCTCTCGCAGGATTTATTCTAGAACAGCTGGGCACAGGCTCGGTCTCAATGAGCCAGAACCAAGGCCCAATTGTGGCTGAAAGATGAGAACACCATACGAGACCAAGAAAGAAGCAACAGCTGCAACAATAATGGCTAATTCAGATAACTGGCATTGGCAAAGATGGACACTGCTGCAGAAGATAGTGCCGAGACTTCTTCGGACTGTTCAAAGACGGTGGCCTCTCGTTGAGGAGTGCGGCAGATCCTGAGCGAAATTGTCTGTTGCGGCGCATCCGTGAAGAATAAACGGGAACACCTGTTTCGACCACCCCTTGGAACGGAAAGTTTGATGTGGCCCAAAAGGTGTTCCGTTCTCCAGCATCTTCGGATCAGCGACGGACGCGTGTTTTGGGGCTATATCGACAAGAAAGCAGGAAAGTCCAGAAGGGGAAAAACTGACCTGTGCTTTCTATCAGGAGCCTCCTGCTGCCGGAAATGACGTTTGAGGCACGTGTTGCTCTTGCATACAAAGAGGAAGAGGGTGCGGTGGAACGCAGAAGGCTCGGACTCGAGAGGTCCGTACACCTGTGAAAGCGATCAATGAGAAGAAGAGCACCTCAACAATGTTCATTGCGAACCTCATCACTACTGACCTCACTATTGTCACCACCAATTTGACGAGATTGGATTGAGTTCTTGCAGTCACTACCTTACTTTTTCCACATCAACAACACTACGGAATCGCTTGTTGGTGGCAGCTTTTCACAGTGTAATCACGGTCGTGGCAGTGTTCCTTCCATGTAGACGGACGTGGAAGGTTGCCCGTAAAATCACAAATGCCAAGACAAGGTTGGAGAACTGTGGTGCATTCTGCTGCCCAAATCCAGAAAACATCATGCCCAGCCGAAGAAAGCGTGATGGATTAATTTCAAGAAGCAGGGACATAAAGTAGTAGCCACCTGATGCATGGTGAAAAAGTCCGAATATTCTGAGCTTTACAGACTCCTTTGTGGTAAAACTGTAACCGGTACTTCCGTCGCCGGGGAAGTACTAACTTGAACAGAACTTGGCACACGAACAAAAGCATAAGAGCCCCAAACTATCTCGACCACCACCACTGCTAAAATCAAACAAGAACCATAAGCGCCCACACACAATCTTATTGTGTTTTACTTGCTTTTTGTTTTCTAAAAGATTCTAGCCACACCCAGCTCATTTTTGATGGGGTCCGCAGACAGGCACACCCCGTCGAAGAAAAATAAGCCCTCACACTCTGAAACCTCAATGCTTGCATATTCAACCACCACGACACGTACAATATGGACCGCTGAATGCTGCCAACATTTGGGAGCAAACCCTTACTAAACTCCAACTCTTTGACCGCACTCGAAGTCTAGTTGGTAATGGTGGCGCCCAAGGAGACAGTCTTCTTTTAAAATAGGAACATGCTCATATCTTTCACATATCAACTTGTAATTGAATTCCAAAAGATATAAAGGCTGCTTTTCTCATGAGCTGTTTTTCCACAACGGAACAGCATTTTGCAGAGTCCTGTCACACGCCAAGATACCAGATTGATATGCGGTGGTGCAACACTTACCTGCATCAGAAATGCAAGGGGTTTGCCGCAAAAGCCGCACACTGTTGCTCCCCCCTGCGGCAGCTTTACAGGGTCGAGCCATGCCGGCACACCCCCAACCTTGCTTGGAAAGAAATGCCGCTCAAGGGATTCCGGATTTGCTGCTTCGTCCACAAACCCTAAAAGAACCTCTTCTTCCTCCTCTCCTTCCGATTCCACCTCCTCCTCGTCTTCCGAGAAAACCTCCTCTAATTTCACCATGGCTCCTTGTCCCTCTACTTCTGAAAAAACTCAACAAAGAAATGAAAAATACCTCTGAAAAGTTTCACTTTGCACATGATGGTTCCTATGCATGTACTATGATGTAGGCTTGGAGCGCCCTTCAGCATCAGGCCGGGCGGCCGCGCGCCTTGCAACTAGCTGCATCTTTCTGCGCTCGGCTAGCTCAGCTGGCTAGAGTGCAGCTCGATACAACTGCCACGTGCCTTCCACTTGTGGTTGGCCCGAAGGTCCGCGGGTCAAATCCCGTAGTTTGCAACTTTCTCTGGACGGAGGGGTTGGCCTGCCTCCTTTCGGAATTTTCTGTGGATCTGGCTAAAGGTCCTTCAAGTATGCCTGGCTGCGGAGAAAATCTTCGCTAGCCGGCGCAGAGAGATAACCCGAAGTCACCACTTGAATATATAAGGCTTTTTGGCAGGGGGCGGCCTAGTCTCGGCGGCCGCGGCGGCCGGCAGCTCGCGCGCAGTCGAGCGGGTTTGGCAAAGGCCACGTCACCAACTTCAAGTTGTTGGCCCGCACGCTTCAGCTTCGGTTGAGTCGACGTGGAGGGCGGCAACTTTCGAGTTTCCACCGAGTGGAAAGCTTGGCGAACCGGTTGTGAGAACACGGGTGGCGAACCCCAAAGTGTCGACGCTACAACTAGGTTAAACTGGGGTTGGTCATGGCTCCGGGTTCTTAGCACACTACACATTGCCTAGGTTAAGCTTAGCCGTGCAGTATCTAGAAGTTAGCATTTCCTGTCGAAGCAGCATGAAGGTGTCGAGCCCGGTGTGACCCGCCGGACGCCCCTTGGGTTTTGAATTTGAATCTGGATCCCATATTCTCGCAACGCCCTCATCCACAAATGGAAAACCGCTAATGCCGGCCGCAAATTTGAAGGCCCTGTTCCGGCGTCGAATCCTTTCCACGCTTTCAAGCGCCAGATTCTTCGATGAATCTCCTTCGATAGTGCGATTCTCGTGTCCAGCTGGCGCCGCGTAGCACCACCAAGCGTGGAAGAAGCTCTTGTCACTTGTGCAGAGATACCCTTCGCTTCTGGAAGCTCATCCATCATGGAGCCGTCCCATGCGCGCTTTTAGGGCAGCCCTCGATCAGGAAAAGTGGAGGGAAGTGTTCAAAGGTGGAGGCGCAAGATTCTGCAAGCTTGAAGAAGCGCGGCTGGAGAGAGAAGAAGCAAATTGAATAACTGGGTTGTTGTGATCCAACGGCTTGTTCCTTGAAAGTTGATGTGGCACCTAGCTGGTTCGCTCTGGAGTGTCTGAAGCTGCAGCAGCACACGAGAACGGGACGGCAGTGCGAGGACGTTTTTGCTTCTTCGAAGCATTCCCGGAGCATTGTTTTGCAAGGGTCAACTCAAATAAGGCAGTCAGCTGACAGCTAGGCGAGCTTTAAGTCCACTTCATCTCTGCATGCTCATCGCTTCCAAGAGAAGCTCAGGACAAGTGTGAAGGAGTCAGTGCGGGACGAGCTTGGGCAACTAGAAAGCCTATCCAAAACTCTGTCGACTGAAGCTGGCATGGCATGCTGACCATCAATAAGATGAAGTCCCTTTCATGAGAAGCTAGAAACTTTGAAAGCCCGCACAAGGCTGTCGCCCTTTCTTACTTCTTCAGTCGCCAGCACCAATCTGGTTCATGGAAGATGAGCTTCCCTCGATTCCGACTGCTGAATTGGTGGAAGTCATCCATACACGACGCTTCAAATTCCGCTCCGTCTCAGTCGCTAGTATACTTACACAGCTGGTTGGACGAGCGCTGAGTCTTTTACAGGTAAGAAACTTTGGTCTTTATTGTTATAGGTTCATGCTCAGATTCTCGGCACATGATTGTGAGTCATTGGTTCTGATGGAGCAGCGTGTCTGACCAGAACTCTCTGAACTTCAAACCAGATGTGTCTGCTAGCACAGGAGTGTAACCTCTGGCAGCTGCATTGTTACGCAGGCCCAGTCCCTCTTCACTGGGAGAACATATTGGTCTTTGACATGCATTTTAGGGACCGGCAAGCTGATCAGTGCCTTCACAGCACTCCAGCTTATGGAAAACCTGCAATGCTGCATAATGTGGTTAAAATACTAGATGCTGGTAGTGCAATGAGAGGTGTTTTGGCCGGTATAATGATGTGGACAATGCTGTCGACATCGTTTTCTTTTCTGAGCAGAAATTAAAGAATAAGGCCCGTATCTGGTTGACGTCCTGACATTGTCCTGAGTCAACAGAATGCTGGACACATTTAGCTTAGAGATGTCATTGATGAGTAATGCCGATCAAGACTGGCGATGTACTTTCACGATTATCAGATAGATTGGGTGCAATCTGCATTGTGAGGAGGCATGCCCCTTAGTAGCCAGCTTCAAATGTGGACAGTTTCAAGAGAAAAGGCATTCTTGACATGCTCTTCGTACTTTGCCATATGGTGTCCCGTCTTGCCACATCAAGAGTTATTGGAAGAAGTAAAGAAGACAAAATATGCTGGTTCTCTGCAGTGTACGCAGGGCTTGATCTGAATTCTTGACTTTCTGTGATACAGGCTGGGGAGTCAGCGCAGAGTCCTGCCACGGCCTTTGCTGATGAATTCGATGATGGGGCGGCCGAGCTGGAGGCGATTGAAGCTGAGCTTGAGGCCTTGTATGATATCCGAGTGTGCACCTTTCTGGTGTCACTGCTAAGCTCGGCCTCTGCAAGCACGCGCGTGCTGGCTGGGGCCACGTACTTGCTGGCAATGATGACAGCAGGGAAGGGAAGCAATGCTGAGGAGTGGAGGATGCAGGTGAGCCCCTTGTGCTTTTCCATGATCTGTTATAGTCGTTCAGAACCGGTCGGCTAGTCTAGTGCTCTTCGGGGGGGTGAAATATGTCACCAGCTGATTGAACTACTCAGCAATGCTGAGAAGGGGAGGATGCAGGTGTGCCCCTCTTACTTTCCCATGATCTGTCATGATCTTCAAGGGTCGGTTGGTTAGTCTTGTTCTCTCTGGGGGCAACATGTGTCACCAGCTGATTGAAGTATTCGGCCAAGTCTCCTCATGCCTAATGTTTGGATTTTATTTTAAATTCATTGGGCTTGTCACCCAGGATGCACGACAATGTGGGGCACATGCAAACGCGCCCCTCATTTCGACTCTCATCCTCATGTATCGTAACCTATGCAATGGTTGCGATCAAGGCCGAAAACACCTATGTCGCCCGTCGAGGCATCATTTCTAAACCCTGAACTTTCTGTGGAGTTCTTCCCAATCATATCGAAAGAACGAAGTACCCCTGCATTCATTTTCTGCGGCCTGGTCCCATTTAACTCTCTGCCAAAATGCTGACAACTTTGACGACTCTCATACACAATGCTGACACCGTCTTCATCGCTGGCCCTTTCCACATCATCAACATGTCTCATCTCCTTCTCGCAGATGACTAAAGGGTGCGGGATCCTGCGCCTGGTGGCCCTGCTGTCCGCCCAGAGCAGCTCCGTGCGCTTCAACGCGCTCCTCGTCCTCGTGAACTTCCTGCGCCACTGCCCCGCCAGCCACAAGGAGGTGCTGCGGCTGGGGGCGCTCCGCAAGTTTGCGCTCCTGCTGGAAGAGGCGGAGGACGAGCCGCAGCAGAACCTGTGCGCCGACGCGTTCGAGTGCCTGGCGCGTTCGGAGGTGCCGGCAATGCAGGGGGAGTTGCTGCAGACAGGTGAGGCAGTAAGGAAAATAGGCTTGAGAAAGATACATTTCATCTCTTGTTGTGATCTCTTGCCGCCTGGCCCTCTGGTTCACTTTGCGTGGAAGGGCCTTATGCATGCACCCTCTCCACTAGTTTTGAATATGTTAAGGCAAAGTTATGACTGGTTCATATCAGGCATGCCCTTTAATTGGCCTTGGGCTTGGGGATAAACTCAAAAGTAGAGCGCTACCGAGTAAGCCACGTCTCCATTTGCCAACCCAGTTCTTCAAAGAATGTCTACTGCCAAAGGATTCCTACTGCGGACTAACCTGGGGTTCTCTTGCAGGCTGTATGGCCAAAATAGTGTCATGGTTGGGCTGTGCCAGCAGCGACCGGGTGGCTGGAAAGGTCCTCAAGTCCCTAGCTGGGATGGTGGAGTGGGACGGGCCTTTTGACACCAGCCTGGCAGTGGGTCTCCAGCTTGCGGGGCCGCTTATGGCGCTCGTTAGAGGCACGGGCTCGACGGCGCTGCGTGCGGTGAGCCACTCTGCTGACTTTGGCTCAAAGGTTGTGGCCCTATCGGTCGTCAGAGCTGTTAGGAGAAAGTCAGGTGGCTTAGATGATCCTAAAGGACACGGTGTCAGGATCTGTGGACAGACATCATGAATTTTTGTTGTAATCTGCATGGAGTGGAAGCCCAGAATTCCGTCACCAAAGCTGCACAATCAACCCTTCAATGACAGCAGACACAATCTGTTCTGTTCCCTCAAACCCTGCGCTAACCAACCTCGACTACGTTTATAACTACAGGTCGCCCTGGAAGCTCTCGCCACCATCTGCGCAGCGCCAGAGCATGGTCCCCGTCACCGCGAGGAGTGCCGTGCGCAGGGGTGCGTCTTGCTGCTGGTCGGTCTGTTGGAGAGCGCCAACGACAGGGAAACACTTGTCCAGGTAGGGGCCCGCGAAGCAGAGTTTGCAGATCAAGCAACTGGTTCGGGAAGAGTTGGCTCTCCAGATTTTACTGTTTGTGGGCGAGGTCTTGGTTATTCAACTAATCAGTTCATTCGTCGTTTGTTAGGAAGGGAGTCGATGTGGTGGCCTCGAAAAGGTGTCAGAAGTGGCATTGTTCGAGCTTGATGACCCGCTCGTACTTTCTCAATCTCGGTTGGAGTGCCCAATGAGTCCCCTTTGTTGTTTTTGAAAACGAAGACATCCCCACAACCTCTCTGATAAGTCCGTTCATGTAGAGGCTGACTTCGTTTGCTTTCTCAGTCCTCTTTCCTTCCCAGGTGCTCAATATTCGATCCGTCTCACCTCCCCAAAGACTGGTGTTGTCCCCACCGTTTGTCCTTCGGATTTCCGAGAAGCTCGAGGCTAGCCGCCTCTCCATTATCCGGCGCCCATTGCCACCTCTAAAAGTAGTCTTTACCACAACTTCCTTCTCAGACCTTCCTCTTCTAAAGTCTTCGAACAATGCCGTACGGGAAATTGCCATCTGCCCACTCGGCCCGCTTCCAGGTGCTCAATTCTTTGGCCGTCCTCCCATCATCCGCGTCCCCAAGCACCCTGAACCATGCGGTACCCCTCCTCTCACATCTTCACGCCTTACGGAAGATCCACGCCTTGCGGAAGATCCTTTACCATCCGCTCACTCGGTTCCCCTCCCTCTCCAGGTGCTCAACTTCCTGGCCGTCCTCGCCGCCCTCGACCCCCGCTGCCGCGAGGAGATCTGCAACAGCAGCTGCCAGTACCAGCTGCAGCGCTTCGTGCGGCCGCCCGGCCTGACGAGCCCCCGCAAGAGCTACGCGGCCGTCATAAAAGAGGAGAAAAAGCCCGGGAGCGACGCGCCGCTCGAAGTGGACGAGACGCTGGTGGCCGAGGAGCATGCGGCCCTGGTGCACTTCCTTCTGCAGGTGGGTTAGGGCGTCGTTTCTTTTTTGGGTTAGTGTTGAGGCTGAGTTTGGGTGCGGCGAGTTGGGGTTGAAGCGTGCACTAACCATGTACCGAAACCTTGGATGATCAAAACGGGTTTCCTTCAAACAGGTTTGGTCGAGGTTGGTGATGGCCGACGGTCAGGATGTGCCAAAAGGTTTACAGAGCGATTTTCATTGAGCAAGCAGCTTTGATGCGTACGCTCGGTTTGCTTTTCAATTGGATAGGATCCGCTTTTTATGCGTTGAAGAACATAGGGCATTCGGATTGTTGTCGGAATCTGCATAAAAAATTCCGCTTGCCTGGTCGGATTGTTGGAAAATAATTCTATGCTGATTGGCTGGAATCCTATGCTGATTGGCCGGCATTTCGAGCCAGTTTTCGAGCTTTTGTGGCAGTGAGTAGGTCCAAAACTGAAACCTTGGATGAGAAGGTCAACTTTTCTGCAGTATGTCTCTTATAGACAGGCAACAACACAACCGTGCTGCTCAGTATTTTTGGAGCTCAAATTTAAGTAGAGTCAAATAGTAGCTTGCTGACATCCCCAAGACTTGAAAGTCCGCTAAAATTCTGAGCACGACGAGCCAAAATCATGGATGCCCGAGTGAGTTCTTTTGTATTGGTCCGAATCTGCAGGAACGGTCTCTCAACCTAGTTGCTCGATTCGTGCAGATCTGCTCAACGAAGCGTCCTCTTCACTTTCCGGAGTGCCGTGACAAGGTGTCCTCGCCTGTGAAAATTGGAGCCAAGATTGCGGCTCGCGTCGGTGCTGATTAGCGGCTCCAGTCGGCTATGTGTATATACACTGCACCGGCTTATACCATATGAAGGCAGTTCCGCCGCATCTTAGAAGCACTTGCTGGGAAGTTGCACAGATAGTCCCAGGTGTACATATACTGTAACACGCACTCAACATACTCGCAGGGGTGAGGTTTTTAACACACTTCAGGCTCGATCCTACCCCAGACACTCAGTAGCCACTAGATTCTTTTATTCTTTACATTGAATCTCACCCGTCTGGAGTGCGGTCTTGCGAAGCAGGTTCATCCTGCCAAGTTTTGGCGCTCCAGAAACGCTGGAAGTGACATTTAAACAAATGGTACACAAGAGGTAGCTTCATTACTTTGTCAACCTGTTACTTTTGAAGCAATGTACACTAAGGCTGATGAGGGCAGGCTGTAATTTGAGAAAGCGGAAGCTCTTGGGCCCTATTTCTAAAGCTATCGGACATCTCTTCTTGTTCTGAACTGTCGCGACATGGACTGATTGCATCCCTCCAATGGTAATTGCTTGTATAGAAAGTTCTGTCCCTTTGGAGAGCCTTTCATGCCCGGATTCTAATTGGAGAACCCGCTGTGTCGTGTGCATGATACGCTAGGTAGCTTTGATAACAAGTTCAGCTCATATATCAGCTTTGGGCACGCCGCATCGATCCAGAGGACGTTCATGCTTAGCAGCTGAAATAAACGTCTGCATTTGCAATGCCACATGACGGGACTTACTGTTGATATGCGGGCTAGATTAATCAAACGCATGTCTGCCTCACTTCAACCTGGCCAATAGGCCGTAGCCTGGGTGCTGCAGCTGGGAATTACAGCTATCTTGTGCAGCAGATTGCAATGCCATGAGAGAAGATTGATGATTTCAAATTGTATGCCGAGTACATCTGACGGCCACTTTGACGATAATGTCATAGCCGATGCCGGGCCAGGCCTCAGCAGTCGAGTCAATTGAGGCACTTGACACATACGTGATATAGCATAAGCAATCCGGAACGAAATATCAGTGCGGCAAAGCTAGGAGGATGCATAAGCACTGTCCTGAGAGCTTACTGGTTCGACCCCGCTGACCCACAAAGCTTCAAAGCGACTATTACTGTTCGCAAACAGCGCTATGGCCTGCCTTCCATGCTCTTTTCTGACAGGCCCTGCTGCAATACGCTGTGAGCTTACACTGGCTACAACTCGCAAACTCTTTTGACCGCTCCTCGACGTTCTTGCAATCAGGTGCGGAACACTGCCTCAGCGGATGCGTGATCAACTTGAAAGATCTGGCTTTGCCTGGCTCTTGTGGACCAGGCTCCTGACCTGATCGAACGCTACTATTCTCCTCAATCCCGTTATCTTCCCCAAGCTCGCGATCAAGGAGTGAGGTTAGGCGTGACTTTTCCGTCGCACAGATCTGGGAGAGAGTCCGTGACCGAGCCAACATGGGCCGGCTCTTCATGATCCCCTTCCTTATCTTGCGTCGCTCCTCCTCAGTTGTCTTCCCTCCCATTAGCCTGATGTAATCTGTTTGGTTTAGTTGCACACCCCCCTTCCTCTGAACCTCGCTCCACAATACTGCCTCCCCAAAACGTTTTGAGAAGACACTGAGGCTGGAGCAGGCAGCAAGCGCCCTGGCACAATCTAGAAACTCGCGATCGGTGAAGAAGTGGGAGCAGAGGAACGGGAGGTTGAAGGCGGCAAGTTTGTGAAGGATAACCAGTACAGTCTCAATCTCGTGCCGAGACTCGCTCTCGCTCAGATGGTTCACCGCTGCAAGGCACAGTGGTGCAATCCTTTCCAATGTGCGGGGGAGCATGTGAGGCGCCGGCCAAAGGACGACCATCAGCGCCTCGTTCACGTATCTCCCATCGTAAAAATACTCCCCGACCCTTCTGAGAATGCAGTTCAGGAACACGGCACGCCTGGCTAGGCTCCGCTTGACGCCGTGAGACCAGATGAGCAGAGTATGGAGCGTGCTTAGAAGCGCCCCCCCTGTGGCAAAGACAAATGCATCCATTGTTCCATTGGTGCACGGGCCCGGGTAGTCGGCCGTCTCGAGCAGGTACAGCCTCTGCAGCACATCCAGTAGATCCTCGCACCGATCTAAGACGAACCTTGCGCACCGCTTATCTTGCATCAGCTTCTCCAGAACTCGGCAGTAGAGCACGCCTTGTTCAAAACGAGCTCGTCACCCCCCTCCCGTTTTACCTCCACCCAGTTTCCATTGGCGGCCTCCTCCAGACCCCTCAAAACCTCCCCAAGCAAACCGTTCTCCAGCAGGTACGTCGCTGCTCCAACCCCCGTGCCAATGTGCTCCTCGAAAGGGTTTGGCAGGGCGGACTGTAGGCCTTGAAGCACATCAAGCTTCTCGTAAACAGTGCCTGAGGCAGTGCACTCCAGGACTTTCTTGAGGAAGGGGCACGTTTCTGGCGCCTCAAATCTGATAGTGGGTGCAGGTTGGTCTTCGACCGGTCGGCAGAGAGTGCTGATCGATAGTGAGCCCATATTCTCATGCCACCGCAGGTCTTTAGTACGTCGCTGGATGCAGCTGTCTGGCTGCTATCGCTTTGAGAGGGTAGCCGTGGGCAGGCGCAGCCTCCAGCTGTAGGTGTCCTCAACCAGGGGTTTCAGCTCAACTTCCGACTCTCTGAGTCTCTGACTCGTCTCTCCGACTCTCTCGTCCAAACGATGCAAAGCTTGGCACCTTCTTGAAGTTCAAGACGAAGCCGCCAACTTGTGAATGAATTTCTCTAACTGCTGCTGAAACCCGCGCGAACCCTTAGGTAGCTGAAGCCTTGTTACGGTCGGAGCCGGCCGCCGGCGCGGCCGGCCTCGCGGCGGCCACTGGCCGCGCCCGGCCGCGAACCGGCCGGTCTTCTGGTCCAGCTGCTGCAGCGCCAGCAATGCAACGTACAGGCTAAACATGCGCTCAATGATTGAGACCCCGGCGCTCGCATGCGGCTTAAGATACTGTTAGTCGGTTGCTAAGGGGGCGGCAGCTGCGCCCCCGGGCCCTGCAACGATGCAAAACAGCATAGTCACTGCACTGAGCCGCAGCCGCGACGTGATTATCTTGCGATTCCGTATGATCATGATGGTCCGACTCGGCAAGTATCCTCGATCCGGTCATATTGATCCGAGGGTCCGACTTTTGACTACTGCATAGCTTGCCTGGACTAAATCCAAATGTCAAACGAAGGACCTGTGAGAATTGTGTGTGTGGAGTCTAGACATACCGTACTGATCGGCCGGGCAACAATTCTAGTAGGACCTCAGGTTGCGAGCCAGTGCATCATGGCGTAAGAACGGGGCAGCCGAGCGAATAGCTCCATATATGCAGCCCGCCCCGCTTCTTCGTTCAATTAAGAGTCCCCCGTCACATGAACTCTCAAAATCTAGCTGGTGCATCTAGGTGTTGCCAGCCCGGCCACGTGAATACTTGTGGCCAAGAGGCACTGATGAAAGCTCGTGCTGACAATCTGGATGCGTTAGTTGTCCACTTGTCGATCTTGACCGATCGTGCAGAAGTGCAACCGGCATTAGTCGTAAGCTTAGTCTTGACTTTTTGTTCGTGTCGAACTTGCAAACTGCTGATCTTTATGCACAAATATTGATAAAGTACCTTTTCAACCTTTTGCCGAAGGACTTCATACGACAAAGAGCGTGGACGATTTCGAAGGTTCCCCCTTAAGCTCATCGTGTCTCTTGACGGGTGGCCGATTCAAGTTTCAAGACTTCGCTCAAAAGCCTAGCAGGAACACATACCACAGAGAGCTCGAACGAGCAACCGATGGTACCTCGAACCTAGCCCGTCTTTTGACTCTCAACCTACTCGACACACGTCCTTCTAATCATGATTTCCGCTGCTTCATATGACAAGGACGAAGGCCAGAACGTATGACTTTGAGCTACGAACGATTCTACTGACCGTTAGGTTTTGACATCCGCAACACAAGCTGGTCATTACCGGTAAGAGCTGCCCCCGAACCGACGTATTCTAAACCGCCCGACGCCCGTTTCACTCTTGAGACTGACGCTCCCAGTGCTCTTCTCCGCACGGGGGGATCCCCCGGGCCGTTGCGCCGCCTCTGGTTTCGCTATCGGGACCCCATCTGTTGCCAACCGGGGGGACGCGATCGGCGGCAGATTTCCGGCGACGCTCTCCCGCCGAAGGCTAGAGTTATGCAGCAGAAAGGTCGCCGCGTCGGGAGTCCCCGGCCGCTGAGTCGACGACTGCCGCCGGCCGTCGACGAGCCAGTTCGGCGCAGACGCGTCGATCCAGGACGGCGCCACGTCGGCGCCCGGTTCAGTCCCCCGGGCTTCGACCTCTTCCGAAGCTCGCCTTCCGGGGGCTTCGCTCATCCGCCGCTCTAGGAGTTGGACCAGCGGATTCCGCTCGGGGGCTTGGCTCAATCTTCCGTCTGGCGCTTGACTCATTTTCCTCTCTGGCGCTTGGCTCATTCTTCTCTCGGGTGATTGATCCGTGGAGGGGTGGTTTGTTGACTTGCGCGAAACACGACTACCGACGGGTGACTCGACGTTTTCCCTGGCACTGACTTGAGACATTTTCCTTTCGTTTTCTATAGACGCTGCGTTCGACTCTCTTAGATGGTGGTCATATTGCTGCGCTTTCTGGTGGAGGGGGAACAGTTTCAGCGGCCGGGCGTTCTTCCGGGGGATCATCTTCGGGTCCTTCGTGCCCGGTAGGTGCAGCCCGAGCGCCTTCCGCTCCGCGCGCGCCATGTTGCGCGCGGCCACGTGGCACCGCGGGTGGTCTGCCCCGAGCTCCGACTGGAAGAGCAGGAGGGCGATCTCGAGCAACTCAATTGCCTGCAGGAAGGTCGAATGTAATTTTGAGAGACAAAGAGGCTAGCTTGAGTTCCGAGCAGGCATTGGAGATAAGGAATGGCAAGGCGGGCAAGCTCGAGCAATTCAGTCGCCTGCAGGAAGGTTGGATGCAAGCTTGAGATTGAAGCAGAAGCGCTAGAAAGAAAAGGATCGAGCACGATTGAAGCAGAAACCCAAAAAAGAGCATGCATGCGTCTATTGTATTGTACAGCGCGGAAACCATTTTCGGGAAAGCGAGACTCTTTGACAATGTTTGGCTATTCCGATGGACATTATATCGTCATAAATGAAGACGGAACGCGAGGATCGGCGCTCGTAAAGTCCAAAAAGACGTCCGGACTCGAGCATCCCACAACCATGTACCCATGCAAAGTACGGGTGAAACTCAAACAAAGAGCACGCAGTGCAAGTATAACTCGGTTATATGCCTCCACGCGTCTTCAGAGAGGCAAGTGGCGATGATTAGAATACACGTGATCAATTGAAAGGCTGACACGTGGCAGGCGCGTTCTTGCCTTGTGGATCTGGCCGCACCGCTCCAGGCAGCACGCCATGTTGTGGTACGTCAGCGCCAGGTCAGCCTGTGGGGCGCCGGATTCGGCTTCCTTCTCGCGGAATGTCTGCAGCAACGGGCTCTGCTTACGTCAGCACATTGCCGAGAACTTCTCGGATCCCTTCTAGCAGGTTTTGTGATGTGCTTCCTTGCTTTGACTGGTTTTAAGAGTGTACATTCTCTTGGGAAGAATCTGCGCAGGTAAACGCATCGCGCGACTCCAAAGAGTATCAGAAACCGTCGGCATACCCGCAGAACTTCTCAAAGCTTGCAACCCTGAACTCGCTAGAAAGCTTATGAAGCAACGAAAGCCAGAGCACACAACCGACGGCGAAAGTTTCTCCGACCGCCGCTCCTTGACGTCACTTCAACCTGCTTCGAGGACGGATCACGTGACGTCACTTGCCATGGTTTCTAGGAAGAGCTCAAACGCCTTGGCGAAGTCGCCGCGGTGGAAGTGCGCGCACGCCCGGCAGCTCGTCGGGAGGACCTTCGCGGGCGCGTCCGCGTCCAGCTTCGCGGCCGCGTCGGCCGCCTCCTGCGAGGGTTCAGGTGAAGGTTTTAGCTGAAGGATTGCGGAAGGCTTTCGCGCAATTTAAGGGACCTCTCGTGTCCAGATTCCAGCCTTCGGCCGCCTCCTGCGGAAAGGTTTACGTGCTTAGGTGCAGGCCTCTCGAAGAACCACAAGAAAGTCCGCGTCGGGGTATGCGGCTGCGTAAAGTTATTTCCAGCCAGAGGGTTTAGAGTTGAAGCATTTTTGCATTACTAAAGACCAGGGCCCTTGGCTTGTTTCAGAAAGCTAACATGTAAGCGGTCGTCTTCCGGAGAGTCATTGCGCAACTGTGAAAGTGAGTTCAACTCCGGTTCTGAAACTTCTAGTACTTAAACTTCTAAGCACTGTTCCGACTCATTTACATTTGCCTCGGTGTTTTCCCAGCACTAACTAGTGCACGGTCAATTCAACTTCCCTCCCCCCACGATTGTAAGCATCCCGATTGTCATCACGATTGTAAGTGAATTTTCCTTTACCTGGTATTTCTCCAGCGCCAGATCGTCTTGCCCCATGCTCTCGTAGACCCCCCCCACCGCGCACCCCAAAAACACGCACGCCTCTGACGTCATCTTGGCGCGCCCGTCCGCTTGACAGGCGGCCATCCACAGCTCTTCCGCGAGTCGAAACGCCAAAAGTGCCTCGTCGAATCTGCCCACGGTGTGGCAGTAGACGGCGCGTTCGATCTGGGCTTCGACGCTTGGGGGTGCGTCGGGGGCGCAGATGACCTCTCGGATAAGACCTGCAGAAAGGCCGAGGCAGAAACTCGTCCGGTGGTGTGAATTTAATCCTATGATCTGCTATTCTCATCGTTCCATGGGAACGGGCCGCAAAAGCGCAATCGTAGGACCAACACTATGATCAGACCTGCTTGCTGGAAGACGGAGCCATCTAATGCGGTTTAACAATCATCTCCGCATTAGTCCGCTGATCAACGCCGTGATCTCATTAAAATAACGCCGAGGTAGTCGACGCACAAATCGAGCCGCATGTAGAACGGGAAGTCGGTGCTTAGTCTCCACTTTTACCGGTCAACCAACGCGGTATCCAGTTACACAATGCCCTTCCGTCAACGGGCCAAAGCCGCGGAGAAACCATCTCAGCTGAGAACCTGAGAGCTAAGCTAAAAACACCCGCTTCCGGACTTACACAGTGGAAAGTCGGTGCTCGATCCCCAGTACCACCGGTCAGCTGACGCGGGGTCCAGCTTTAGGGACAGCCACGGGTTCGCCGGCGCCTCCGACTTGGCTTTCCCCTTTCTTTCCCTCTTTCCGCCGGTCGTCTTGGGCCGGATCTTCATGAAGTCGAGCAGCGCCCGGACCTTGTCCCCGGGCGACGGATACCTCTCGGCGTCCCTGCATATGAGTGACACGAATATCAGGGTTTTGGTTTTCGAGATTTCAGGGTTTTATCGTCCTTTTTTCCCTCGTCTTTTCCTTCCTCCCGTCGTTTTGGGCCGCAATCTCATCAAGTCGAGCAGCGCCCGGAGCTTTTCCCCGGGCGACGGATACTTTTCGGCATCCCTGCAAATGAGTGCCAGGGAACTTTTGGGTCTCTATCCCGACTTTCCGGCGCAACATTGATAAGTTGTCGAATTCACCCTCCGCGAACGGCGCCGTTCTGAGAGCCCATCAAATTGAAACTTATTCAAACCTTCAAAAGTCACCTTTGTTTCTGATCTCAGTATAGGACACAAAAGTTACAGATCGGAAGGAGCCCATGACGTCAGCACGTTGCACACCGGAGGGCCCTTTTAGTTTGAGACTCATTCAGCAGCGCAACGAGAACAGGTTGGAACTCCAAAGCAAAGACTCTCAAGAGGTGCCCACAAAGACTCTGCCAAAAAGGAAAGGGCCGCCGGATCGGGTGGTGTCAAGGGGCTTACTTCCTCGTGGAGTAGGCCATCATTGACACCAGGCTGAGCGCCTCCAGGAACTCAGAGTACGTCATGCTGAGGTAATTGCCGTCACCCCGTGGTCCGAACTTGGCCTTCCGGAACGCCACCTCCAGCCGCCGGCGGGTGACCCTACAACGACACGTGCCCATTTATGACGTCAGCTCGTGCGAAGAAGACAGCTCCGGAGCTTACTTGATACCTTGCCTTGTTACTTTGTCGAAAAGTAGCATAGGGTATTGTTTTCTTTGTTCCCTTAGCCCGTCTTTCTGGTCTATCTGCTCACCATTTGGCGGCACTCAGGGGTTCTGACAGTACTCGCATGCCGCACAAGCTGCGCATCACCAGCGTTCCCCGCTGGTGGAATGACTTCAAGCACAGTTAAGCAAGCTTTTGTCGTTCTCCAAATGCAAGTGACGTGTTTGGCGGTAGAACCTTGTCTTTTGCTTCACGTCTAACGCTCCATAATGGCGACGGAACGTCTCCGTTACATAACCCAGACTCGTCGTATACACAGGGAAGGCGCAAAGCAAGCGGATCAAACGGGGAGGGCAAAAAGCGGTAAACATGAAGAAGCAATTGACCCGAAGGTCAATACTTCGGCCGGAACGAGACGAAGGCGCCGAGCGAAAAGGGCACGGAACGGGAACAGACTCAGAGCAACCATCCTGGAATCAGTGGAAGAAATTTAGCGGATCAGAAGCGTGCGAGACCGGAGCGAAACGACTGACGCCATTAGTTTTGGGACCGCCTCACATTCTGGGCATGAGGTCGTGCTTCGCGCACAGGGTTTTGAACTCCGCCGCGCTGAGGGCGGCCGCGGCGTCAGCGGGCGCGGCGCCCCACGCGGCCTTGCCCGTGAAGCCGACGTTCACGCTGTCCACGCCCGCGAAGGAGGCGAACAGCGCGCGCAGCGCGACCTCGTTCTCCTGGAACACCTCGGTGACGTCACGGTCGACTGCGGAAGGGGAGGAGTGACGTCAGCACACTTCAATTCAAGTTTTTGTACGTGCGACGTTCACGCTGTTCACGCCCGCGAAGGAGGTGAACAGCGCGCGCAGCGCGACCTCGTTCTCCTGGAATACATCGGTGACGTCACGGTCCACTGCAAGAAAAGAAGGCACGGTATCATCATTCTCGAACTTTTGATCCTTTGAAGCCGATGTTCACACTGTCCACGCCCGCGAAGAAAGAGAACAACATGCGTAGGCGTCCTCCGTTTCCTGGATTATCTCGGTGACCTCATCTTAGACTGGCTTGCCTTTTGATGCAGCATCTTCGACTTGCGAACGAAGTCCGCTGGAAACGAAAGCACAGTGATGACGATACTCCAGAATCCCCTGACACTCGAAACACAGGTTCGCGTGATCGAAACAATCTGAAAGGATGACGTCAGCGGAGACTCACGGATGACGTCCTGGAAGTCTGCCACGTCCTGGTTGACGCGGCGCGCGACGGGCGCGATGTGCTTCTCCACCAGGTAGCGGTACGCGGCCGCGGCGTCGGGCGCGTCCGGGAACTTGGTCAGCGCGATGCTCGTCAGGACGTCCGCGAAGCGCTCGCGGCTCAGCCCCGTGATCTGCAAACAGTCAAGGATGACGTCAGTAAACGGATCTAGATCTGTTTTCTATTCTGTGTTGTACGTGGTCGTGTCAATCTTCTGGAATGAAAGGTCCGTGAGGTTCGCCAGAGGACGTCAGCGAAGCACGGGACGGCTCAGCCACGCAATCTGCGGGGCACGACATGATGACGTCAGCTCAAGAAAAGAAGACCCGCCGCCTCTTTGTTTCACTACGTGGTTGTGAGACACGATCCAGAAACGCAGAAGTCCAGGGACACCTCGCTAGAGTTGCAGTCGGAAATTTGAAGAAGTATGAACTGTCCAACCAGACATATTTCTCTTCCAAGCCCTGTGTTCGCTGTGTTGCTGCGAAATGCAAATAGTCCAAAGACGGGAAGCTCTTCCAACCAGGTCTGGCCCCTTAAAGCCTAAACCACTCATCCTGCTGTTTGATTCGGGCGGCGCTCTGGTGGCATTCAGGAAGAGCAACTTCATGTCCTTGGCCAAGAGGCTCTCCTAAGGTTGTAAAACTTATGACTCCTCAAATCTCAGAAGCCTGAACCGTTGGACCCGGGCTGCGCTTTAGTCGCCTCCAAAGAGAGCAGGTCTATGTCCCCCGCCTTAACGCCCTCCAAGCCTAAAATACAACCTTAAACCGAATCCCCAAAACCTACACGCCCACCTTGACACTTGACCCGGGCGGCGCTTTGGTCGCCTCAAGGAAGAGCAGGTTCATGTCCGCGGCCGCGAGGCGCTGCCCCTCTGCCAGCTGGCAGTCGCGGCAGATGCGCAGGAAAGCCGGGCGGTCGATCTCCACGCGGTGGTTCACCTCGCCCAGGCCGCAGTAGCGCGAGAACAGCAGCGTCACCTGGCCGAAACGATGACGTCGGATGACGTCAGGTGACGTATTTTTTGGCCTAATTGCTTTCTCGTTTTGAATTTGGATCCCGGCAATCGGAAATGGGTGCAGGCCGCAGTACCGTGAGAACAGAAGCGTTACGTGGGAAGAGGAAAAAATGTTAGAGGAAGTCAGGTACAATTGAGTTTTGGGTACTTGGGATGCAAGACCAAATATCGCTCACCGGTGCTTGACTCTTAGATAGCTAAGGACAATGTCGCCCCTCCTTCAAGAAGCTTACAGAACAGCTCACCCCAGTTTTATTGTAACTTCTCGACGTTGATTATCTTACTCAAACGAAAACAGTTCCCACAATTGCGGAAAGTATGCATTCGCTTTTGCGCGCGCAGAAAGGCGACCAAACAGCTGCGCGCACCTCTGCCTCGACCGCCTCGTTCGTTGGCAGCGGCACGTAGTACTTCTCGGGGTGCAGCCGCTCGTCCTTGAACAGCGCGAGCGCGCGCAGCGTGCGCTCCAGCCTGTGCGCGAGCGTGTTGGCGCCCTTGAACTTGGGCTCCGGGCGCACGATGCTGGCGCGAGCGACGAAAAGGACGTCAGTACGATAAGTAAGAAGGGCTGAGTCATTCATATTAACGAAAAGCTGACGACAGCGATGCCCGCAGATGTGCGGGAGCGTGTTCGCCCTTAAAATTGGGCTCCGGGCGCACGATGCTGGCATGTATGACAACGATGATGTCAGCAAAAAGATCACAAGAAGTCCCTGACGCCAGCGATGCCCTCGGATGTGCGCGAGCGTGTTGGCGCCGTGAAATCTGGGGGGCGCACGATGCTGACACAAGCGACGAAGATGACGTCAGCACGACGCGTACGACGGGCTGGATTCAGGAGAAGGACCAAAAGAGAGCCGACGTCAGCAATAAAGTCGGACGTACGCGGGCGTGATTGCGGCTTACACGCTTCTTCGGCACACTATGCTGGCGGGAACGGATAGAAGATGCAGCGGGGCAACTTGTCACAACGAGAGTGACGTCAGCAGGACTAGTGAGAGCGCCGCCGGTGCACAATCGTGGTCGTGCCCTTTGACTCCGATTTGAAGTGCACGATGCTGGCGCTCGGATTAGCCACATGTTTCCGAAACGCAACGACAAGCAGTCGGCACCTGTGAGTGGTGTGTCGCTGCAGATTTCCCACATGTTCATTATTTCCGCGACATTTAAACGACATCTGTGAGTTGTGTGTCGCCGCAGAGCCACGTGGGCCTCACTTCGCCGCGCAGAGCAGGATCGTCTCCAGAAACTCCGGAAACAGCAGCACCCTGGGTCCCTGTAAACGCCTCGGATACGGCCTCTCGCCCAGATGCAAGGCCTCGACGACACGTGGCACGTTGGCGTCGATTGAGAGCAGGCCCGAGCCGCGCAGCAGTTGGAGTGCCAGCTGGCAGCCGATGCTGCAGTTCTCGCGCTCCACGTGGAGACGCGTGGCGAGCGCGGATTCGTCGAAGAGCGCGGCCTTGTTGCCGTCGTTGGCGAGGTAGGCAAATACCTGACGGGGTTAAAAAGAGTTAAGAGAGGGTTAGGTGATATGGAAAAAGGTGCCGGGGTTGACTAGAAGGTTTACAGACGGTTAAGAGAATGGAAAAGGTTGGCTTGGTTAAGAAGAGTTGACAAGGTTCAGGAATATCGAAAAAACTAGTGGCCAACTAAGACAGGTCTAAAGATGGTCAGGAACACTAGAGCGAAACGACCAGAAGGGTTGAGGCCATCACTACCTAGAGATGATCAAATTCCTTTGCAGATACCGCCAAAAGTTGTGTAGGTATACCTTCTTGGTGCTTGATGGGCTTACCACTGAATAGATGGTGTCCCAGTCTATTCAGTAGCACAGGGAAGAAAGCTCGCTTCAAAAGAGATGGTGAGAACTTTGATTTTCTGAAAGTGCCCCCGGGTGCGCGTTGGCAGCTTTGTCGAGTAGACAAGTGGCGGATGAAAGCACTCACACTCCAACTCTCATGCTTACATTATTCCTTCCAGTCGTTCTGAAAATGTTTCGCCAATTCATCGCTATGTTTGTGTGCCATAGCTTACCTGATACAACATGACGAGATCCCCCTGCAGCATCTGGAAGTGCTCCGGCTTCATGATCCCGGGGAAAGCCCGGTCCATCACCACCCGCTGCTCCAGAGCTGCCACGTGGCGGCCCAGGAGCTGCCGCGTGAACGCATCCTCCTCAGACTCGGTACGTACCGCTCCTGCAACCGTTTCCACCGGCTTTGCGGCGACGAAGTTCGATGCAGGAGTGGTGGGTCGCGTCGGGCTTCCGCGCATTCCGGTGGCAGTAACGGAACCGGACAGCTTCCGTGTTCTGTGATCTGAAGCGGGACGGGAACCAAGCACCGGGGAGGTTTCCCACCGGTTACCCCGCCGCGCCGAGACGCCGCTTGCCAACCCGCGCTGCGACTGGGGTGATGCCACGTGGCCGTCTGAGATGACGTCAGCGATGAGCTCCGCCAGAACGAGGTCTACCTCGTCCTCGACGCTGAGGACGCCGGCGGATGGACCGCCCGGCGGACTGATCAACGGAACGGTCACCGGAATGCTCAGGGCCGGAACGGCTATCGGAACCGCGGAATACTCCTTGGCCGCCTCTCTCTTGTGGGCGAACAACACCGTCGAGACCAGCCAGAGTGCGTCCTTAAACCCCTCAAACCCTAGCATTTTTTCCTCGTCGAAAGCGCGCTGCGGCGGGCGCGCGCCTTCGCTGCTCCCCGTCTGCCGCGTGTCCTTCTTTGATTGGCCGCGATCGCTGCCAGCGGGCGTCGCCCGCCGTAGATCGCCCGCAGGGGACATCGGACGGCGGAGTTCGCTCCCCGCGGAGTCGAGCTGGCGGAACGCGCTCTCTCCCGTTTCCGGCCGGGTCATCGCGCTTCCGCCGGAATCCGGACGGCCCACGCTGCTCCATGCGGAGTCCGGACGGTCCGAACCGCTCGATTCCAACATCGGACGGCCGAGGCTGCTATGCCCCGTCATTGGACGGACCGAGTCCGTTGAGTAGGGGGTCGCCGCGCGACCGTTCTGTCCGTTTTCCGTCCCCAAGCTGGAGCGGAACCATACCTCCCGGCTAGAACGGAACCGCCTCGGCCCCGACTTCGAGCTGTTCGAACTGCTCTTGCTCTCAGGCCGCTCGGAGACCAGGTCCGACAGCCGCCGTCCCGACTCGCTTTTCTCCGAGTCGCTCTTTCCGCTTCCGCTCGATTCCGCTGCTCTTCCGCTGTCCCGGCTCGAACGCGAACGCCGGCCGTCCGATCGCCGAAAATTCGAATTGCGGCGCGACGAATGGCTGCCGCGGACGGTGCTTTCCCAGGACGGAGGATCGGCGTCCTCGTCCTGGTCCGCCGGAATCGTTCCGGCCTCCTCTTCTTGGCAGCGGAACGCGGTCTCGAAAATGTCCCCGGCGTCGAAGTGCGCGAACGCGTTGTCGTACAATAAACACTCCCGGAGGAAGAGTAGCCAAGCGGCCTTTGAAATTTGGGGTGGAAGTGGTTTGGCGCCCTGAAAAGATACATTTTGGATCTTGAAGATTGTCACGTCGCAATCGCAAATGATTAGTAAACAGGTTAGTAGGTGGCTTTTCGGAAAGGAATGCGGTTAGGCTGGTGATTGTTCGAAGGGGGCTGCTTGTAAGCGTCGCCCTCATCGTCAAAAGGCAATCACGTTTGGGCGAGTACCGTATAAACAGACAAACACAGAAGGAGGTTCATGGGTAAAAGCAGATAGCTGAACCTCCGTTCCAACATCGTCTACTTTCTTAGTTCACCTAATCAGTCTTGTTCACCGAGGCTGCTTGCCATCCAGGAAAGAAAGGGCGAAGGAAAACAAGATCACGAAGCCCTAGCAAGGAGCTCCGTGCACGAGGGTATGCCTAATCGTCCTTGACAACCAAATTGACTCCTTCCTGAAGGCTTTCGGTCTTAAGTACGGATTCTGAAAAGCTCGACGGGTCGGCTTATCACGTAAGAATCTCGGGCGAGGCTGGCATACGTATCAGAATCTGCAAGGTTGTGCAGGTGCAACCTCACTTGCTAGGCCTACTCTCCAAGCAATTGTGCACTACGCCGGACCCATTCTTGTTAACCTGCCGAGTTTTGCCAGGAGTTACTAAAGATCATCTCGAAGTGGATGGCTTCCAGAAGTTCCCGAAGAACACAAAGACGGGACAAAAAGACGACAAATCACTTAAAAAAGGTCTCACTTCCGTCGAGCTGCAGTACGCCTCAAAGATCGCCGCGAGCGCGTCTCGCATGTTCGACCCCTGCAGCTCCGGTTCGTACCGCTCCTCCCCGCTCAGCAGCACCGTGTGGTTCGCCCCGCACGCGATCCCCGCGGCCTTATTCACACCGCCCAGCTTGACCGTGTTCACATGGACGCTCCGCCACGCGCCGACCGGGAAGCTCATCGGGACGCGCTCCACTGTCGGGTGATCGGTGCCCAGTCTGCCGATGCTACTATTGCCCCACGTGATAACCCGCCCGTCCACGGTCACCACTGCTGCGTGCTGGTTACCCAAACCCACATGGGTTACGCGCTTTTGGTCGAGAATCCCGAACGGTAACGGTATGGCGAGGCCCTGGTGTGCCGGCTCTGGGTGGCCCACGTGCTCGTCCGCGCCCCAGATGTACAGCCGACCGTCCGAACCGACCGCCGCGGACACTATGGCCGCGGCGATTTGGACGACTTGCACGGGCGGCGGCGGCGGCTTCCGCAGCGCCGTGTCGCGCGGTAACGGTTCGCGCGAGCTGCAGCTGCCGTCTTGAAACGCGGCGATCTTCGAGGGCGAGCTCTTGTTGTCGGTGTGGCCGAGACCGAGGCAGCCGTTCCCATTGAAGCCCCAGCTGTAAACGGAGCCGTCGCTCGCGAGCGCGAGCGTGTGCGCCCAGCCGCACGCCACCTAGCAGATTTGGCAGCCACGTGTCATGCACTTACGAGGTGCTTTCGATTCCCAATTCTCGCTTCTTCAAGAGGCTCTTGTTCCGCGAATCGGACGGACGGAAGTGCGCTCGAACGACAAACAAGCAGCATTTTGAATTCGAGGTATCAAAAGTATAAAGCAGAGCTCGTGTTCGTTTCCCCATTTTGATCAAATCTATCAAATTGGTCGGATGTTTTGAATGAAGCATCCCCATCGGAAATGCTTCTACATCTTCTCGGGTTTGCAGTTTTAAGCTCCGCGCGATATTCGAACTCCGTTGCGGAGATGCTGAAAGCGAAACGAAGTGATCACATAGGGTTTTCTGAGAGCTATCCGATCAGCAAATGCGTCCGAGCGCTTCGTAAGCATTCCCATTAAGATGATTCTGATTATTCAGGGACACACTTCTCTAGGAGGTAGGGGAACAAATAGATGAACCCCCATGTTCTTCGAGGGCAGTTGATCGAGAGCCTTTCCGAATCCAACGCAAAAACGTGTCAACCATTTTCTTCCGATCAAGTAAAAAGGAGGCAGCTATAAGGGCAGACGTCCTGGATTCGAGGCAAAGAATCCGGGCTTAATTGAACTTGTCATCTTTTTGGGCAGATTAAATTTCTTCGAGTAGAAAATAGACTAGGTGAAGACGTCCTGACTTGCGCCAAACTTTCCGGAAAGTACAAACATTTTGATCAACGATGAGCGGCGCAAATGCTTCGCGATCTCCAGCAGAAATTGAAACGCGAGCATCCAGAACGGGCGGAATCTCGAGAGGAGAGACTTCAAACGTCCACGAGAAATTGTTGAGCTTTTGAACGCGACCCCTTTGCAACAGCACTGTCGCAATTATCCGCGCAGACTGTGCTGTCGGTCCGGCCTGCGCTGAAGGCGATTCGAAACCGTACGGTAAATAGTCCGGTAAGTCTTCTCGTAGGGCAACGACGCCGGCTGACTACCATCCAGAGCCCGCTGTCCAAATCGGACAGTGTTGCGTTTCCGGACAGAGATCCAAGATCGGACGCTCACCTGCGTACAAAAGACGTCCGCCAACGCCTGCACGCGCCGCGGCGCCTGTCGGCTGGGCTCGGACGCGTGGCCCAGCTGTCCGGAGCGTCCGCAGCCCCACGTCAGCAGCTCGCCGCCTTCCAGAACCGCAGCGCTGTGCTGCTGCCCGCACGCGATTTGCGCCGTCCGAGTTTCCGTTCCGCTCAGCGCCGGGACGAGCGCCGGAATGCGCCGCTCCTCCACGTCGTCGAAGCCCAGCTGTCCGCAATCGTTCGCGCCCCAAGCGAAAACCTGACACGTGCAATCATGGATTTTCGGAATATGGATAAAGTAAACCACACCTAAACTGAGTAATCTTTCTACTTTTTGCTGCTCAGAGCATGTCGGGCTGTAAGTTCAATTCTGGCAATTGCAGAGGTAAAAATGCAGCAGAGAAGAGTGGCGCAAAAAGAGAATACGGATCGGTAAAATCAAAAGTAAGAGCTTTCCGAAAGAAGGAAGATAACAGAGGCTTTTCAACATCAGGCTTCGCTTGAGGCGAAGTGACTAGCACTCTTGTCTATCCATCAAGGGGGAATGTAATCTCTGACATCAATCGCGCTGAAAGGAGCAAAGCACTTACGTGACCGTTGGACAGGAGTGCTATTGAATGTTCGGCGCCACAGGCGATTTGGGCGACCGGCTGGGGCAGCTGCAGGAGAACCGGGGTCGCCCAGCTGCGGTTCCCGTTCTGCACAGTGGAACGGCGTACCATGAAACCTCCCTTGACAATCAGCATGGCCCTCAGCATTCGGAGGGAACATAAGATCAGCATGCTGTCATGGAGGACTTTTGTGAGCCGCCCAACACCTTGAGAAGCTTCATCTGTTCAACCTCTTTTCCGTGTGCTCATCCGCATTTGCAAAGATTTGCGCGGCCAGCGATAATCGCCCGACGGATCGTTTCTTCAGCCGTTGTGAAGCGCCTAAGTCTGAATCTTATTTACCTCGTAAAGTCGACCCTGCTGCTGATGAGAGACCAGTCACAGGATGATTCGCAACCGGTCAAGTCATAGCGTCATCCAAAACTTCGTTACCAAACTCACCCCGTTCCGGTCCCGCCGCAGCCCAAGCTGCCCCTTGTTATTATGCCCCCACATGTACAGATCCCCCGCTGACGTCAGCGCGGCCGCGTGGCGCGCGCCGGCCGCGACCGCCGTGAAAACCCTCTCCGCGAGCGCCGTGTGCGGCCGGAGGCAGAACTTGGGCCCTTCCGCGGCCGCCTGTCCTTTGACGTTGTCGCCCCAGGTGTAAATGGGGGTGTGCTTAGCTTCCCCACGCAAGAGCTGCCACACGTCGTACCTGTAAGAAGGGGGCGCGAAGATCTCGGAAGGGGTGTCGAAACTTTGGGCTTTAATAGACGCCGTTCTCAGGTGTAAATGGAGGTGTGCGTTGCGTCCCCGCGCAAGAGCTGCCCTACGTCGTGCCTGCGGAGAGGAGGGCGCGGAGAATCGGAAAGGGTTCGGTTCGGATTTGGTGAGCTTTTGGTCTGACGTTTTTGGATTTGTTTATGGGGGTATCGAGCTGTCGCTCCAGGTATAGACCGGGGTGTGCGTTGCATCACCCCTCGAGAGCTGCCACACGTCGTACCTGTGGAAGGAGGGGCTGGAATCACTCCGGAAGGTCTGAATATCTGTGGACCTCGGGTGTGTCTTGCTTTCTCTGCAAGGGCTGCCACACGTTGAACCTGTGGGAAGGGGCGCGCGTAAAACTGGGATTGGAGAAATCTGGAAGTGTCTTGGATCTGCTACGCTTTTGCTTCTGGACTTTGAAGCTATCGGCCCAAGTAAAGACTAGGGCCTGCTTCGGTTCCCCTCGGCAAGAGCTGCTTCACGTCGTGCCTGAGGGAAGAGGGCGAGGATTGCTTGAGGCGTTCAGAAACTTTTCTGTGTTGTTGTCAACCTCTTGTCGTCCGACGTGGAATTGAGAATGCGCTTCGCTTCTTCTCACAAGACTTTCCACACGTTGCGACTTTGGAATCAAGGGGGTTCAGAGTCGGAAGGCACCCGAACGACAGTCTCTCGTTTCTTTTTGTTTGCATCGATTTGACACAGGACAATCTTCGCGCAATCCGATCCGAGGCAACACTCTGCAGCCCCGCTTTGGAGATTAGTTGACTTTGCGGTCAAAAGATGATTCAAATAGCAAAGCCCCTCACCCTTCATCGCGCCCCGCCCCGCCGACCCTGCGCGGCCGCATTGGCGCGGGCACCTCCACCCGCTGCTTCTCGATCCCCTTGATTACCGCTTCCGGCTTTTCCGCCACCACTTCGATCTCCTCCTCCCAATCGCCCGCAACGCTTTCGTCATCGACCAAAATCTCGTCCGCTTTTGTTACTTCCTCTTCTCCCCCACCCTCGAGCGCAGCCTCTTCAGTATCTTCCCCGTTTTCCACCCCCTCTTTCTGTGTCTTCGTCTGATTCTCGCTCCCCGCCTCCTCATCGCTCTCATCGTCCCCCGAACTTTCCCCCTCGCTGCTGATGCTGTCCTCAAACGAAGCCTTGACTCTGTTCTTTCGGACATTCATCCCCTTTTGTCCCATTTCAGAAGCCTTCCCTGTCCCCGGACTACGTATCACCCCCGCACTCTTGGCAGGCAAACCGACCCCCGAAACGTTCTTCCCGGCTGCCGTCGCTCCCCCCCGCCCTGCAACACTACCAATGCTTGCTTCCGCTCTCCCTCTTCCCACCCCCCTCTTCGCAGCAGCTCCGCTCCAAGGCCCCAAACCGCTGCCACTTGGCGGCCGCTCGTGCGCCCTTGCCGGGAGGTGCTTCGCTCCGGGGGGGCCTCCCCCCAGGTCCGACATCCCCCCCTCCGGGAACAGGCTCGACAGCTTTTCCCTTTCCTTCTTTTTCCGCGCCTTTTCGATGCTCGCAAGGAGCTCCAACGACGGGCCCGAGGACCGCCGCTTCGCTTTTGAGCGCTTTTTCTTCAGCTTCTTCTTCGGCTTTTCTTCGGGCTGGATCGCCGCCCCGACGGCAACGACCGGTTCCGAAGCACTTTCGTCCGCATTCTCCACGTCGGAATCCCGTTCTCCGGGGGAAAGGAAATGCGGTGCCCTCGTCCCCGTTTCGGGGGGCTCGCCGTCTTTCCCCTGACCACGCCCCGCAATCAGCATCTCTGACAACTCGTCCTCCGACTCCGCCCCCTCCATTCTGAACAGTCGCGAGTCCGTCCCTTCTAACAATCGTAAGCGCGGGCTGACCTCTCCTCCCTTCTTTCGCTTCCTCATCCCTTCCTCTCCATCTACCATCTTGCTCCCCTCCATTCTGAAGTCCAGCGGCGAACCCGCCCGCGATCTGTGGCTCTTTTCGGGGGTCCGCAGCTGCGGGGGGGTCCCTGCGGGGCTCCTGACAACGACAGGTGTCGCAATGCCATTGACCACTTCCCTTGGCCGCCACGCTTCCAACTGGTGCTCAAACACCCAGTCCGAGTACGCCGACGTTTTCGCAAATATGGTTCGAAACGGGATTCGTATCGGCTCGGGGGCTCCGTCGGCCTTCATCTGCTTTTCTGGGAGGGTGTTCACACTTTCGTTGTCAGAGCCGTGGTCCATCCACTTCCCTTCTTTCCTCGCGCCTTGTTTCTTCTTCCTGGGATCTAGAATTCCCCAGCTGCGCTTGCTTGGCGCCGTCACACTCTTCAAGGACGAAAACATGTTCCTCAGGCGCACTGGCTTCTGCTTCCCCTTTGCTTCAGGACCCTCGTATGCCCCCCGCGAAGCCTCCACCTCTTTCCGAGACACACTGCTCTGCGGCCTTGACTCCGCAAACCGACTCCTCCCCAGCTCTCGTCTCTCCCTACTGGAGGCCCCCCTTTTCCCCTCGTCGTCCGGCCCCCCCCTCGGCGGAGCATGGTCCCCCGTCAACCGCCGCAGAAACAGGGCCCGCAGGTCCAACTGCGACTCAGGCGTGCGCGCCCGCAGCCTTTGGATGTATTCACGCTCCACATCACCCACGCTCGGCTCAGGCGTGGGCTCCGGTGTGAATTCTTTCACCTCCTTCGCGGCTCGCTGCTTCGCGAGACTGTCGAGCTGCGCCGCGAGCGCCTCCCGAAATGCGAGCTCGGAATTGACCGAGTCTTCCAAGAGCCGGGAGCTCGGCAGACTGAGGACTCGGTGCGCGTGAGCTCGTGCGAGGCTCGCCCGGTTCGCCGCCGCGAGCTGTGCCAGCTCGTCTTCCACGCTCAGGAAAGCCTTGAGCTTCTTCTTCCTTTTCTTGGCCCCAGGCATCCCATCCGAAGCTTTAGCCTTCCCTTCCGAAAGCCCCAGAGAGACGCTCCGGATTAACACCGGATGCCCCCTTTTCTGCAGCAGGGGGGTCTCCACCCTGCTCGTCGTGTGCCACGGCGACGCCCCCCGCAGCGGAGGAGGGCTCTTTCTCGGCGTGCGCTGATCTGGCGTGCTGTGATTGGAGGAGCTGTCCCTGCTCAGGGTTTCCAGCATTCTGGCTTTGAGCTCCTCTGAAAGGGCCTTCGTTTCTTCTATGTGCATGCGCAGGCTCCTGCGGCTCTCAGCAGAGGAGGAAGAGGCAATGGACTGGACGCTGGCGCCGCCCTCGGACCGGTGGGTGTCCATTTCGGACGACCGGTGAGTGTCCAGCTGAGAGGGGTGTGGACTGTCCATGGCTGCAGGCCAATCTGCAGACCTCAGAGTTCAAAACCAGCTCATAATCTCTGGAATGACTGTCAGCTGAAAATAGGAAAGGAGTGTTGGCTATGGCCTGCTAGGCAGAATCTTTGGAGAGATGACTCAGCAGGGAAGCGTCTTCAGACTCTTCTTGCAGGGCCCAATGCTGCAGGCCCTTTCCGCCGCTTGCACCATTATCTAGCTAGCGTGTGTGTCAAAGTTGATTCTCCTGCATGAGGGAAACCCGGAACGGCGCATGAATGGGAGCTAGGGAACCCTAAATTCTTGAGCTGGCGCTAGCTGGGCAAACCCTAGACGGTCAAATATCTAGTTAGCTTAACCATCTCACAAAACCCGCGCGCCGGTGCGTGCGCGGGCCGCGCCGCCTCCGAGGGGCCGATCCGACTCATCCCGGCCCCCGGGCCCTCCGATGGGCCCGGGCTGCTGCACGCGCGGCGCCGCCCCGGACGCGCACGATAGTAATTCGGCCAAGCGCCAACTATTTGTATTGATTAGGCAGCACTGACAGAGACAGAGACAGCTCACAACCGCCGATCACGTCACCAACATATGTGTGCCATGCAATAGCTAGTTAAGCCTGTTGCGTTGGCCGCACTGCATGGCTATGGCATTACGAAGGAATTTTTCGTAGAAATCACCACCGTCATGATGTTCTCCGGCCGCGGGCTGCTCCCGCCAGATTATACAGGGAGTAGCCTTTCAGATGGTCCCAAGGGACTGCGCAATTGCGTGTGTTGTGCACCTGGCACTGTGATGCAACCTGATGGCGGATGATGTCGGAGGGCTCCGTATCATCAAATCACCATCACCTCCTCACATGCAATGATCATGCAAATCGACGAGCTGCGAGCAATGCTTCAAAACCCAAGGCGGCACAGGCCGTACGCACAATTGCTAGAGAATCATGTACGCCAATGCACGGCCTTTCGATTTAGTAAAGTCAGCCTTGGTGGCTATCGCAACGCCAATGCTTGTTTTTGCAATCGTCCAATGTAACGCTCAATCTTCCCAGGATTACCATGCATTACGACCTTTCCGTCGTGCATGTATGCGGCCCCATCGGCAAACGGCAGCTCCTCTAACCGATGCGTGACCCAAAGCGCAGTGACCCCCGATTGCATGCTAACGACGTTTTTAACCGCCTCTAACACCCCAATCTGCAGAATAAGAGAGCAAGCTGTAGAAGGTCCAAAGATCCAAGACAGCCGGCAGACGTGTTGGTAGAATCTAGTCCAAAGAAAGCACCATGCCGAAATGCTTTACTCAGATTACACGAAGAATTTGTTCTTCTCCGGAAGCTGAAGTCGTGTCTTGCAAAATCTGATTACAGCCTGACGGTTGCGCACGCGCTGAGATGGAAGACCTTTTTCTGCATTAGTAGACCATTGTCTGCACTAGTAATGGCTCCAACCTAGCTTGATAAGCACAAGCGTTCGAATTTTGGATGGTGTATCGGTGAATTCAGCGGACTTCGCATTGTAAACCGGACGACAACCAAATGCCAGTTTTAGATGGGCAACCCTTTACAAACCTCGCAAACCTCCCAACTCTGCCTGCGCATACGCAGACGTCTTGCTGCAACGAGAGGAACCGCCGTTTTCCACAACTTGCAACCTCCAATCAACAGCTCCGTGCATATCAAACCATGGAAATGCAAAAAAGTTTCGGCTTCGGATCTTTGGTTTTACGTAAAGCCCAGCCAACGTGCGGCTCACCTGATCCTCTTCGTCCAGAAACGTCGTCAGCTCGTCCAACAGCAGCACCTGACTCCGTTCCGCCAGCGCGCCCGCGATCGCCACACGCTGCTTCTGGCCCCCGCTCAACGTCTGCACCGACCGCTGCAACAGTAGAAACGAGTCGGGCACTTTTGAAGGAGCCAGACAATAGTTCGGCTTTGAAAACTTCCGCTTTTGAGTGAGAAGCCCTCCCGTAAAGTAGTCGCACGGTGAGGCCACGACCTTGCTGCTTCGAGGAGCTTTCTGCTGCGTCGCACCTCCCAAGGAAGGATACGTACCGCAGAATGGACGAAGGGCACTGACGCGTCTTGTCCCATCCGCATCTTCTCGCAGTCAAGCTGCTCAATGTATCGACATGGCCTTCCCGCGAAACAGGACCATTCTGCTGGATGGATTTTTTGATTGCGAAAGAGCGCCTTAGTTCCTCACCCGAGTGTAGTCGCCCATGCCGACAATCTCGAGCGACTCCTGCACCCGCCGCTTCACCTCGTCTTCCGGTAGGTGCATCCGCCCCAGCCCGAACGCCACGTCAGCACCTGCTGTCGGCATGACGACCTGGGAGAGCGTTCATGAGGCTTAGACCATCCGCTTACAGACACTCAAAAATCATGGCGGCACCAACATACGTTGCAAAGTCGCCTTCAATATCACGTTTTTGATGTATTCTATTTGCGAAAAGCGTTCAATAATCTTGGTCCCTCCAAGTAACGTGTATGGACATCAGCAAAGGGCGCCCATTTGCACAAGGTCATCGGCTGGCCGACCTTGATTTGGGTTCCGGATGTTCATTAGCGATTGGGCTCCTGAAACACGCCCAACTCAATCTTCTGCCAGCGCTCTGGAATTATCAAATCAGAGAGACCTGAGGACCACGGTGCGCAATAGGCAGTGCTCGTCTTCAATGCTTTTCCAATTAAGCGGTTTTTGACAGCAAGCGAAAATGTGTACCCTGATCAGACGAAGGTGGCATACCCAAGCAACACGAGTCTGATGATGAGTACTCTTCGACTTCACGCGCAAATAGCAAGCACACTCAATTCGCCAATACGTCACATCTTCCGGAATCTTTTTTGATAAAGCTCAGATTCTCTTCTAGTCACTTCGTAGTCGCCTCGATTTTCAAGCCAAAGAAAACGCCTATGTAACAGTTTTTCATGATGCCACCTTGGCATGCCCGCAAAATACTTCAATCCCATCAGTACGGTGTGGTACATCCGATAGTTTGTAATTGAATTGGTTTCGAGAGAAGACAGAACCGTCTCAGACCAAGATTGGGTGCGACACAGTGACCCTTGTTTCAACACAAAGATCGTTGCTTGATGATCCTCGAGCATCCGATCCAAGCCCCATGTTCAGATGCGTTTACCCCTGGAAAGACCTGGAAAAAGGCAACTCGCCTGGTGATCCGGATTTTGGAAGACGAAGCTGCACGGCTGCGCTATCCGCAGCTCCCCCCCACTGTGGTCGAGCAGTCCTGCAAGCGCTTTCAATAGTGTGGACTTTCCACACCCGTTGGGGCCCAGCAGCATCCACAGCTCGCCCCGGGGAACTGCCAGTGTGGCGCCCTTCAGGATCTGGAGGGAAGGGGGAGAGTAGGTTTTCTTGAAAACTTATACCGCATCCTGCAACTATTTCTGGCAGCCTTGCCATCATCATCACCAAACGCACTGAGCACTGTCACGGGGTCCCTAAGAGAAGCTGACGTCTGTTCGTAACGATAAGTCAGGAACGAAGTTCCTCGCCCCTTGAAGCTGCACGGTGTTTCCGCTCAGCTGGGTGAATGTTGTCTGCTTCAGTTCCAAGGTCTGTTTTGTGTGCACGTGGGGCTGACGTAATCCCTACATAGACCCAGATACTTGCAGAGTGGCACCACACAGAAGCGCACTTTCCTTGTCGAACTACACCACCCTCCGATCGCTGATGATGATACTAACTCTACCACTATTACAGCTGGCACATAGGCGCAAAACATCGCGTTTATAGAGTAAGAACGTTCTCTTCAAGCACTCATCTCAACCAGCCGCTTCTCAAAACCTGCTCTTGACAGCGATCGGTACTTACCTGGACCCTGTCTCTGCTTGCAGACTCCAGGGAAAGCGTCACATCCCGCACGTCGATAGCTAGGTCCTCTTCCTGCAATTCAGCCTGCCCTGGCGTTCTCCATTTGGCACTCGTCTGCATATGTCTGTTTTTCCGTCTCAAAGGGACGCCTCTATTTACCGCACTCATTAACCGGCCGTGTCTATCACAAGTCAGCTGCAATGATCCTAAGCTGGTGTCATGTTGCTTTACAGAGTGCCTGCTCCGGCTTCTTTGTGGCCTTCGACAGTCCGCACCCATGTTGACTGACTGGGAGAGCAAACTCGGGGTCTGCTTTCTACAGCAGCATCTGTTGCGATGTGACACCCAGGAACCAGCTTGGTAAACTGCAGATGATCGAGCACGTTTCAGAATGGAATGGGGGTACGAAAAGCGGGGATTAGGAGGCGTCAGCCCTCTTCTTGCTGCGCTATCAGAACTCCCTGAAGCACGATAGTTGCTATCAAAGTGCACCCCTGTGGTCCCTCCCAGGCTGCTCTTCCCAGCGTGCGCAGCATATGCCATAATTTGCTGTGGAAGGTGATCAAAAGCGATGCTACCAGCAGAGCCTGCTGTGAGTTTCAATTTGGCAGCCCTAGAACCAGCAATTCCAAACACACATTTCGCACGGTTTGCTGCTGTACTTTCTCGAAGAGGATGATGTAAGTGCGAATCTTGGCTCTGCGAAGCTGAAGGAGCATGCAGAGAAAGTGCCAAGTGCTGCCACCAGTAATCCTGCTCCCTGGCGTGCAGCTCGGCAAGAGCTTCCTGGCCGTTGTGCGAGGAACGGGCGCAGCTTCCAAGCGCGCGACAGCACGAACTGGCTGTGCCACTTCAAACTCAATTACCACATGGCTGAACACAGAAATGCATTTCGAAAAGTGTGAAAAGCCGATCCTCAAGGTTCACCCCCGGGGCGGCGGTGACGGTGAGACGCTTCTGGCGTCGAACTAGAGCTCGCGGGCAGTCCAATGTGAACCAGTCGGTATTACAAATGGTTTGAACGCACAAGAAGGCCATGAATAACCGTCAGCGGTGACGTTTCCCCAGTTAGCGTGTTTACACTGGCTTCTGCAGTGCATGATTGGCTGCAAAACCTACACCATCCATCTAAGTAGTAAGAAGATCTTGCACGCGCAAGCAAGAAGAGACCACTTCGACGTTGTTCTTGCAAGACCAAGGCGCTGCTAAGCCAGGAGAAGGTCGCTCGTCAGCAATGCCGGCCAGGTACGCAGCTTTCATGGTCTCAGCGCCATCATCTTCCGTGGAGTGGTACAAATGCGCAGTCGTTCTCATAGCATTAGGAAAGCTCTGAGATCTGGGACGTAGCAGTAAGATCACTAAATGTGAGCTGGATCTTTCTCAGGCGCCTTCAGCAGATGAAATAGCCACCCTTCCAGTCTTCCACATTGTCTGCCGCGCTTCTGAGACGCTTGTCCCCGTCCGCGCCCTTTACACCCTTAACACAGCTGTGAAAGTGGTGCATAATACACTTGAGACGGGCGTTCAGAGAGTGGACTCGTTTGCGGCAATGCTTCTTTCTCGATGCAGGTGTCAATATATCAGAGAGCACCATTCGAGCTCAGAATTGTGAAACTTGTTCCGCTGGGACCAGTGGTCGTGTGCACTGCCTGCGGCTGGCTTCATTTAAAACGCCTTCATCTCTTCTTCTCTTGCAGAACGAGAGCAGCGGCACCGTGTTGTTGCAACCAGCGAGCATCATGGCTAGGAAGCGGTCGACCGCTCAGGTACGTAGCTCATTTCAAGCTCCCGGCGTTATTTACTAATCAGATGGTGTATGTCTGGTCACAGTTCAGATAGAAACTGACGCTTGCACCTTTACATGTGTCTTCCTGCTCGAAATGCTTGTTTAGTCTACCGCTTGGGGGACTGGCTTTTGTTAAGCTCTTGACATTGAACAACAACCAGTGTGATTTCGATCCTGCATGAAAAGTATACTGCGCCATTACATGTCTCACCTGGAACTCAGCGCCTGTTGAGAAAGCTTCTGTTTGCCTCCCTGTCTCTGACAGTCACAGCTCTAGTTTCGAGATGGACACTCGCAGTTGTAATAAGGTCTAGCATCCCAAACAAGCCAGTAGAGAAGCCAGCGTTTGAAACCAGTAGTTTACTTTTGAACAGTTGTCATTTTGAATCGGCAGTCTGTGCTGCGTTCTTCAAGATTAAACCTCTTCTCTGCCGGGCACTTGGAATACAAAACGGAGAATCCTGCTTTTACAGGTTTTCTTGGGTGCCCTCTGCTTGCTCGCCTTCATCCCCTTGGTGTACAAACTGCCGGTTTCCATGCCCTCCCCCCACCTTCCCAGGGGGGTCTCGGACCCCCTTCCACTGAATACCCCAAGCCCCCCAAAGGTCAACCGCCAATCCAGGAGGATCGCCAGCCCCCTGAAAAGTAGTAACTTCTTTGGGGGGGTGATCGACGAGGGTGTCCAGGCGGCCGTCCACAATTCAGAGGAAAGGGCAAAACTGGGGCTGGTACAGCCAACGCAACTAGGGGGGGGAGATGCTCTCCAGGATGAGCAGGGGCCGCACAGAAAGTTGCTTGACGGTTTGGGGGCCTCCGACGAGCGGTGGGGGGGAAATTGGCGCAGTTTCTTCCCGGGGGGCCAGCAGGAGATGTTCCAGTGCGACCGCTCGTCCCCCCTGACAGACGTGTGCGTTCTGAAGGGGGACATCAGAGTCAACCTGACGTCGGGCGAGATAGTGCTCTACTCCAGGAGTCCGGCAACCCCCCTAGGAGAGGAAGTCATCCGACCGCACCCCCGGAAGTGGCAGTGGGACATGATTGCAAGTAGCGTGACAGAGTTCACGATCAAGTCGGTCGCCGCCGGGGGGGCGGAGCGAATGCCGTGCCTAAAGCGGAACACGGCGCCTGGGGTGCTCTTCTCCGTTGGAGCGTTCTGCGGTGGTGTTTTTCACGACTTCAATGAGGTTTACCTACCGCTCTTTGAGACGACACACACGACAGGGGGTGATGTCGTCATGCTCGTGTCAGACTTGAAAGGCGAGTGGTGGTGGCACGACGCGCCGCGGCGCAGCTTCGTCGGCGCGATGACTCGCCACCCGATCAAGATCATTGGCCGGAACTTCGACACGGACAACTACGTCCAGGGGGTGGAGTGCTTTGACCAGCTCACGGTGGGGCTTTACCAGCACACGTGCATGTACGACGAGTTCGGGGGGGCGGAGAGCCGCTGGAAAGCCAGATCGGACGTGAAAGAGTTCGCGCCGTACGTCCGAAAGGGGCTGAAAATTCCGGACCCGGGGGGAGTGCCGGCGCGGGTGTTCGTTCCCGAGGGGGGGGTTCCGGTGGTCGGCATCGCGCAGCGCCTCAGCTCGCGCAAGCTCAAGAACTTCATCGACATTCTGAAGATTGCGAAAGCGGACGGATTCAAAGTCGTCCCGATCTACTTCGAGCACTACTCCCCGGAGGAGGCGGTCAAAATCATGGCGTCGCTCGACGTGTTTGTTGCGGTGCACGGGGCGGGGTTGAGCAACATTTGCCTGATGCGGCCGGGGGGGGTGGTATTGCAAATCATGCCGTACGGGGAGGGGGGGAAGCGGAATGTCATCGGAGCCGAGTACAAGAACTTTGCGCTCGCGATGGATGCAGAGTATCTAGAGTGGAGCGTGCCGGCGCACGACAGCACGATCAAGGACCAGTACAACCAGACCGACAAGATTGTCACCTCGCCCGAGCTGTGAGCAGATCCATTTCTTTTATTGAGGTTTCACAGGGCATGCTTGTGGGATTTGGGGCTCAGTTTCGAGTGCATAGCTACTTTAAAGAAAAGAAGGTTTTTGAGGAGGGGACGCAAACTCGTTTGCTCTGGCACTTTCAGCACAACTCCGCCTCATTTGGCTCGGTATAAAGTGCCCTCCTGTCGTTCACTCTTCTGCAAGTGCTTACACATCTTCAATTGACGTCTTTTGAGCATCTTGTCCGCTTCGTTCTGATTGTTTATTCAGTTGTAGCCTTCGTTTTTCACTAATTTTCAAACGCTCGAGTGTTGGTCGTTTCGGTGGCTGGATAATAGCGAAAGTTAGCGGCCTATTTAGCCTAATGTGGTATCGGGACGCCCGTTGTTGCGAATAATCCTCCAGCCGTGCTTCGTCCAAAGATTTCAACATCTCCACCCCAAATCCGGACGAGGCGAGACAGGGCGCTCCGATCCCGTTGACGTTAGAGCGACCTTCACATGGCCAGAACGTGCCATTCTTTCTAAAACCCTACCTGCACATTTCCTTTCTGATAGTGCTGCATAGGCCTGCCGGGTGTCAATGTGGCGTGCTTCCGTCTCAGGCTTCAAACCCGCGCTTGATAATGGATAAGATGTTGTTTTGTTGTTCCTTCATGGAGTATCTGGATTCGGCACGACATCCCTGCCTGCCAGCCGTCCTGACTTGTATCCTCGCATGGCTTTTCCTTGACGTCTGTTCTTTCAAAAGCCTCACTTCGAGCACGCCTCGAGTGCCGAAGTTGACCCGGTGCCTTATGGAGAAATTCAAGTCCGGGAAGCGACAGACTCGTTGAACACCTGCTTCTCTGGGCAGATTGTAGCAGAACGCCTTTTCACACTATCTGCAGGATCTGGAAGTTCCGGGGCAAGGATGCGATGAACATCTACCACAAGCAGGACGTCACGATGCCGGAGGACATGTTCCGGGCGTATCTGCACCAGATCCGGCGCACGCTGAGCCTGCGCGCCAGGATCGCTCAGGAGTCATAGCTCATACAGCCACCGTTGTGCGCGATTACATCCAGCGCGACCCGCTTAGATCGGGTCTTACGTAGAAGTTTCTGCCCAGCACGCCTGCCCAGCGGAGACAGCGCCGATTTACACCAGGGTTTGCATTAAGCGGGTTTACGGGGCTCGCCCCCCAGCCGAACGGGCCGGAATGAGGCGGGGCCATAAGTTATCGGAGCGAATTAGCATTTCTTTATGTTTACCATTCACTGTGGAGCGAGAGCTCGGGAGCCGTAAGTTATCAGGAGGCGACGCGTTGGGGTAGGAGAGCAGGCGGTCAGTGGAAGCGGTCAACCCCTGCCAGGTAAGGGATAGTGAGTCTGACTTCTCTGCATTCATCTGTGTGTCATACAACGCTCTGTGTTGCATTTTCAGGTTCGTCAGCAATGCTTTGTCCTGGGATGCCAGCGTATGCTATTAAAATTACGACGATAGTGGTCGAGAAAAGCAAAAGTTACCATTTTCCCTAAAAAAAGTCAAACGCTGAAAGAGGGCGTCGTCCTTTCCGGTGCCGCCTTTTGACCACTTTCGTGGCGACACCTGCGGAACAAATATCTCATCTAGGTCGAAATAGAGAGAAGCGTGAGTACGCAGTCGTTATCGTATCTGACTGCGCTTTCTGGCATTGGCCGCTTCTCGAGCGGCTGCGCTTTGTGCATGGGTCGGCAGTGATGCAATACCAGTCTCTGCATACCGGAATAAGAGCCCGCTTATGTTTGGGCGCAGGCATTTGACTCCGCTCTGTGGTTCTAAAGAGCAGTCTGCAAAACATAGCACACGACAGAAGTCCGTCGAGTATTCTCCGAGTCCAGCTTCTCCAATAGTACCTTGCAGAAGTCGACCGAGTTTTGCGCCAAGCTTCGATTCAGGAGAAACGATGTATCGTGTTCGTGTTACTGGTCTGATACCTGGCTCTGCAAAGTGATCAGTGTTTGAGGACTTGCAACCTTCCACATATTAGGCAACAAAGGGCTGACGATACTAACGCCGTCTCTCGTTCTTCCCAGGCAACCCCGCTGAAGAAAGGAATCCTGAAGCCCATCCAACGGCCGTGATGCTCCGCCCGTCGCTTGTCTTCCTCCAAGCTCGGAACAGACGTCCTGATGTTCGCTCCGGGAACTGCCTCGTTAAGCTCACGCAAAACGAGCGCCCGGTTTGCACAAAGCGGGCACTACGGACTTGATTGCAGCTAAAACTGGATGAGCCTGTTATCTGCGGGTTCATAAGCACAGCGAGGCAGCCCTTACGTGTTTCTTCTTATCTTAGCTGGAACGAACCGTGGAAGTGGTAAACAGACTCAACTGGGAAGCGGAAGCTACAACGTCATCGTTGACTGTGACATCACTGCATACCCCATTTTGATCTGGATAAGCTTCCGCGACTAGATGGGGACAATTTGTCGACAGTGTTAGCATTATTACATTGGATACATGTTGCTTGTGAGAGGCGGAGCGTGGGGTGTCAATCCGAGTTTGGTTCCGGGCTGGTCTGCCTCAGTGTCCCCCCGACTGTTAGAGTCACCAAAGTACATCTTTCAATAACTGAAGAGGTTAATTTGTGAGCACAACTTGTGTAGTAGCGGCAGCACATATCGGACGGTCAGCTGATTGCTCTGTGGTATGAAAACTACCATGCCACAATTGCCCCTTGTACAGCAGAGAGATTCTCTTTTGGCACTGTTCAGAATCCAGCAAACAAAACTAGACATGATCGACAAGTGCAACGCTCTACATAGGGCTTGGTCCGCTTGATTAGTCTGTATTTGATAGTCATATAGGAATCATTTTGTGGCAAGTATCTTTGAGATCGCATGAGCAGCAATGTGTGGCTCCAACCGTCGACTTTTGTATGATCTGGCCGTTCACCGAGTGTTAAACATCTCTGCCGACAGGTCACTGTCAATATGAGAACCTAGGCTAGTACTTGAGTTAGTATATTGCTAGGCGGCGGCCAGCTCCAAAGCGGACGGTCTCTTTTTTTTCCCGGACCCAGCAGGTTTGAATATGGTGAAGTTGGCTCCGCTCATATTTTATACGCTGCATGCAATCCTTCTGCTCATGATTTTCCAAAAGTGTACAATTTCACGCCATACTTTGCACCTCAAGTCCGTGCCAGGACAAGTGAACTTGCATTGCATCATTGGTGCAGCACATCATTCAAGCATTGCCAGCTTGCAGTCATGGTGACTCACCTGAGAGTTCTACACTCTCGCCGCCTCGTGACCCCTTCAGGATGTAGCCTGGGCCGCCCGCAGGGCCACGTACGTACTGATGTCTTATGCCATTATCCACTCAAAGGCTGCGAGTCAAAGCTGACCGTCACGTCGTACCGTACATTAGTATTGCACCGATAAACGGTAGCAGGCGGCCTGCCAACACGCGGCCGCGCGCCGCCACCCACGTGCCACGGTACGTGCCCGGCTGCGTCTTCGTATATACCTACCACAGATCGGACTATTCAGGAGGATGGGACGGAATCCGTTGTTGGGGAAACCAAAGGACCGGAATACTTGTTGGAAGGCTCACCTTTTTTGTGCCACCACTTTTTGAATCAGCAGTTGGCATTGGCTGCCTAGGAGAGACTCTTGAGCAATCGAACAGCATTGAAGAAATTCTTCTGGAGAAGATTGGGTTCAATCAGACGGCAGGTGCTCTTGTCCGCAAGTTTTGGTTTTGCTTTTGCCGCAGCAATGCAGTCCTCTCTTGCAATCGTCAGCCCTGCGTCATTGGTGGCTCCCGCGTTTGCTGCACTGCAAGTTGGAAATACCCATCAAAGTGTTTATCATGAAAGCATTTGGCGTTTTGGCAACACCGAGGCAACCATCAGAGGGGATGCTGCGGGGCTGAGGAGTGGTGGTATATATTCGCCAGTGCATAAACCTTGCTCAAAGTCTTGGGAAATGCCAGAAAGCCTAAGATGCAGACATCAGATCATCAGAGGCAAGGGGCGAAAGAGCTCTGCTATGCGACACCGCTGGAGGACGCAAGCAGGCGTTGCTGCTGAAACAGCTGCGAGTGGTACGTCATCGGCATGCTTTCTCTTTATCTCCGTACTATGTGCTTCTCTTTTTGTCAGGCGTTGTGGAAGAAGAGAGAGTACGTATTAATTTGTGTGGTAAGTTAGATTGGAAGCAATCCTTTTTGAATGCCAAAGTGAGATAGCAGGCTGGCCAGAGTGAGCTGAATGATACTAGATAAAACTCTTTTGAAGACCTGTGAAGAGTGTGCTGAGCTCAGTATTAATCTTAAAAAGGTGATTCTTAAGCAAAGCTGATCTTCATCCAAGGTCAAGCGATCTCAGGTCAAAGTTTGATCTTCATTCAAGGTCAAGGTGAGCACAATGACCTCAGAAGGGCGAATTCTCAGTTCAGAGGTGATCTTCTGACCAGTCGAAGGCCGCCTGGATCTGCCATGGCTAGACATATGAACGAGGGGCCCAGCACATTGAAACAAGAGGCTTCTGACGCATTTGAGGGAGAAAGTCGGAACTCCATCCAAAGTTTTGTTGGTTCTGAATAAGTTGACTGCGGTCAATCCTAGAACAGTCCACTTGATGAAGTTGACACTGGGAGCTCTAATATGGAAACTCAGAAAGTGCAGCCGCAAGAAACAGATCATCTGAAGCAGTTCCTGTCCCTGCAATCAACTCAACCAGATCGAGCATGTGAACAGAGAGAGAGTAGTAAAAAAATCCTCAAAGTTCAGAGTTCTGCTTTCTGATGGGGAGCCAGAATATGGTAGTTGAATGTGGAAGTGGGACCCTTGGCCCTGCAGATTGCCTTGTTTTGCTCTAGACTTTTCCGATCCATACGTCACGGAATATCACCTCACCCATATTGCTGCTTTCAAACTGCTTCACTCGGAAAACTTCGAGTGCTCTTTCCCATGTTCCAGCAAGACAAACAATCTCCACTTGTTTGCACAGTTGCAGAGCCGACAACAGAAGAAGCCACAGTCTCAGGCGACGACCAGGGAGAGGAGGATGTGGGGAGCGGAGGAGACCCCGAGCATCTCATCATCGAGGACGAGTTCCTGGACAGCGCTGAGGAGCTGCGGGAGCACTTTGACAGCAGGTAGGGTGGGCATATATGAGACACAAATCTCCTGGTGAGGCGAAAGTGGAGAACGCAGGACAAACCTGGCTGGACTTACAACTGACGGAAAGTTAGGGCAATGCACTGGTCGGACAGTTACAAAGTAGCGTGGGAGAGACAGGCTTGACATACCGGGGCGCTCAAAAATTTTGCACTGGCTCGTCTCTAACAACACCCATCTTGCAAACGAAAACTGGACTTTCGTTCCAAATGATAGCAGAAATTCACCAATGACCTGTTTGGTTGGGGACCTCTCAAATTCTTCACACGAACCTTCGCCGCCTCTCTGCAAGTGTGACCGATTGCATACCCTCGCACTCTTTCTTGTCGATACTAGATTCGCCGAGCCGCGCCAAATACGCATGGACCGCTTTGTGTGGGACTACTGGCATGTGCCCAACCAGTACACGTTGATCCGGACGCCCGCAGAGGACTTCTTCCCGCGGACGTTGTACGAAAGTCTTGAGGACGCGCTGCTCTCGTACGGGGAGAACAAGCTCGGCTGCCGCAGCATCTCGCCCGTCTGGCTGTCCTACTACGTCGACGGCTGCTCCCAGGTACTTCGTTCACTGCGAACTCCTTTTTGATCTTCCCTTCGGCAAGGATATCTTCTTTCAAAGGCGCTCAGACCTTATCGGAGGGGTCCGAGAAAGCCTCTGATAGTAACCTTTTAGGCAGTTCGGCACGGTGAGCTACCCGTTCTGCTACGTCGACGGGTGCTCCCAAGTGGTTACGCCGTTGCGAACCCCTTCCTGGTCATTCTTTCGTGAATGATCTCGGAGATTTGGGGCCCTCGTGACCCATTTAACCGCCCAGATTTTGATTACATTCCACGTGGCCTCAGGGTCAGGCGGGCAGGTGACTAAACCTCCAGTTGTCCTTACAAATCGTTCCCATCTGTCTTCACACTCAAAGAACTGAAGAAGGGAGAACGTGGACTCCGGAGCCGATGTAAGAGCTCCCTCCTACTAGTAGCAGTAAACCCCCGGGATCGACGGTATGAGTTGTTTGGACTACAGTAACCAATTTTCCCGTCGATCGAAGGGCTCATACAGGAGGGGGGTCCCTAGGGAGTCCGCCAGGAGTTTCCGTTCTCCTTCCTTCCTTTCTCTCATATCGAGTCTGGAGGGATGGCAAGGTCCCTTATGATGATTACCGTCACCTAGCTCGCATCTTCCTATGCTTCGAACCTTAACCGAACTAGCCATGGACAGCGGTAGTCCGGCGCTTTCTACTTTTTGGAGTTGCTAGGCTTGGTTGGCCCGGGCTAGACTATTCACGAAGGGTTGCCTGAACGAGTCTCTCGGGGCGTCTTGGACCCGCCGCTGTCGACTCTGAGTATCGTGTGGTTCCAAGATCCCACGCTTTAGATTCTGGCTATCTGGATATTCGTCACAAGACAGCTTTTTCCTTCAGAAGCACATTTTTGGGCTTTCAGCTTTTGTTCTGTTTGATTCGAAGGTACGTCGCTCCAGTCAAGAGTGTGAGTATTTGGCGAAAGTCAGACCTTCAGCTGGCATCTCCGTGAAGACACCTCTCTCGACCTTGCAGGAGCTACACGCGGACAACCCGCACGGCCCGTGGGCCTTCGTGCTGTCGCTGACGGACTGGGAGCGCCGGCGGTTCTCCGGGGGAGAAACGATGATTCTGCAGCCCCACGTGCTGGACTACTGGCGGGGGTTCGAGGCGCGGCGGGGGATGGAGCTAGAAGATCTGGTGGGTAGTTTTGGAAGTTTGTCGCAATTAGTCGGTGCTTGAAGAGTTGCTTTCTTTTTTTTGGCGATTCTGCACACGTTCGCTTAGCTTGTTGTCTGAAGCGACTGTGTGTCATCATGGTATACCCTGGTCTGTTGCTTTGCTCTCGGTTGCCACGCAGCTGTGCAGCTGTTTCTCGCTGCCCGCCTCTCCTTCCTGGGTTCTGAGTACTTGTAATAGCAGCAACAATTGCTGACAACGACGGATTGTAGGGACAAACGAAACGCCACCCTGCCCCCGAAACAAAGCCTCGATTGCAGGTAACACTGCTCGACGCTGAGTTCAGCCGGTTGACCATGTTCGAGCTTTTTACTGTCCGCCTTTACTCCTCTCGCTCTTCTTCCGTCCGTGTACTGACAGCAACACCTAAGAAGGAGAAACAGAAAAAAAGTAAAGAACAGACTCCCTTTCGCAGTGACCATGATGGAACCCAAGTCAACCGGTTGACCATGTGCCGTGTTCGACGCGCGGTCTCGGCCGTGTGTTGATAGCAGAAGACAAGAAGGACACCGAGGAATCCAGCGTTCAAACATGTACGTTCATACAGGTGACTCAGGTTGAACCCGACTTCAACCGGTTGACCGTGTTCGACCCGCGGCTGCCCCACGGGGTGCGCCCGGTTCGTGGCACGCAGGACCCCCGGGAGGCGCGCCTCGTGCTGCACGGCTGGTTCACCGAGCCGACGCCCTTCTTCACCGGTGAGGAACACAATCATGTTCGACATTCTCTTCAAGTGTCAATGGTGCAGAGTTATCGACAACCTTCCCAAGCTACGGAAGACAATGGTCTGGATACATGGAGCTCAGAACAGATTCGTTTGAGAACTGTCTGTCGAGATCACACACGGGAGTGGACATGCCTCCGAGGCAGCGTTTGAGATGGATTGCGGTTCATTCCGTAAGAAACGACCGATATTGCCACAGGCTTGTCGTTGGTGGCGTTGATGGCCCCTGGGGCTCCCTCGTAGTCCGCATATCAGCGATTCTGCCTTTGGACAGGCGTTCCTTCTTCTTTTCGGAGCTTCATCTTGCACCCAAGGAGTCAATCTCGAGCGGCTCGCGGCTCCCGGGGCCTACCTCAAATTTAGAGGGGCGAATCGAAGAGCGAATCGCCTGCTCTTAGAAACAATCAGGAGGCTAAGATTCGGGCGACGTACAGCCCTGTCACGAGGAGGCAGCGCCTGAGTGCTGACGTCGTGTTGCCTTGCGTCACTGTTCGAAACTTTGTTCAAATCATGGCTATCGCGGTCGACCTTGCCGACGTCATTCTTGCTTCCGCCATCCTCGCTGACGTCATCTTTGCGCTCTTTTCGCAGGGGCGCTGGAGGAGCACGAGGCGGTGGCCTCGCTGAACGCGGCGCTGGAGCCGCTCTTCGAAGTGAGCCCCAGCAACTCGGGATTCTCACTCAGAGATACACTCTTTGGAAAAGACCGTTCATTCGGAAGATGAGATGGGATGAGATACAACAAGACGCAGCGAATCATGTAATTCCGTTTTTTGGGGGATCGCGTCAGAACATTGAACGTGGCACTGGAGCCGCTCTTCGAGGTGAGCCCTGCAACTCGGCACCCTCACACAGCAAGAGGTTCTTTCTTAGAGTATACCCTTCGTATGGACAATCAGATGGAACGAGATGCAACAATCATAGGCTTTTATTCTGGGATTGCGGGATGCCGCGTTGGAGCCGCTATTTAAGGGGAGCTTCGCAGGCGGGGCCGTGTCGTACGTCAGAGACGACGACAGATGCTGCTCTACCCGCTGTGTCTCCTCTGTCACGTTTATAAATGTTTCGGTTTTATTGAGTGTTGCATCGTGAGGTCCAGGCCGTTGCCCGGGTGTAGCCGAACAAACGTCGTTACAGCTGGCATTCTTGGTACTTGTCGAGGCGGAAGTCTGAAGCCATCGTACTGCGCAACCAACTGTTCACTCAGGTAAAGCTGACTTATCCACGGAACACGCAACACTCGTCGTCACGAGCAGCAACCAAGACGGCTGGGCTCTCGCGCACACCGCGGGAGAGAAAGACGGCCAGGCTCGGACCAGGCTTGAAACGGAATCCCGAATCCTTTGATAAATAACAAACACGAAAGCGAGGTATTGTAGACGAAAATTTGGTGACTCGCTGTTCTGGTGTTTACAGGAGGTCGCCACCTTCTCTCCGTCTACTGGCACGACCACCGTCCGGCTCACCATCTCCGGTTCTACCGGGGCGGTCACCGACCTGGAATGGCTCACGGACACGCTGATTGAGGTGCCCGGGGGAGACGAACCGGGCGCTGTTCGGGATCAGGTCCAGCGGACGATCGTGCGGCATCTGGGCGGGGCAACGTTTCCGACGAGCGACAAAGGTCGGCATAAGCTTTTTCTTAATTGTTAGCAGAAAAAGAGGCGCAAGCGGGAGATACAATCTCAGCAAGCTCTGCTGAAGTCAAAGTCCATTCGCATTTGGCGTCAAAACTCTGCGCTGCAGAACGTCGGCACATCCATGATCCAATTACGTGTGGCTGGATTGAAATGGGTCAGGCGTGTCTGGGGCATCCTTCAGCATTGAGAGCGCAGAAGTATGTTCTTCTTTTAAATATGACAGATATTCTCTCAGTTTCCACAGCGGCTCGTTCGCATGGCGTTGATTGACTCCGCATTTCATCCTGCAGGCGACACGTATTTGACTATGCCGTTCGTATTTGACTGACATGGTAGGCGCTTCAGAGCGAACCTCATTATTCTTGGGGTAGAAACCTGGACAACAGAAGCTGTCCGGCAGCCAATCTAGGAGATGAGAACAACAAATATATGTAGTCTAACCGCAAAGTGTTCGGGCAGTGCGAGTTGCAAGGGGTGCGAAAGCAGGCACCAGTCTTCAAAAGTCGAGCACCATGCCTAGGTTGTGTCCCATAGCAAAGCAAACGCACGAGCGGTAGTACAACAGAAATTGAGGTTTATGAGTGGCAGTGAGATCAGTTCTGAAAAACACCCATCCGTTTCATGGTAAATGGCGTCCACCACATTTCCTTAACAAAGACCAGTGGTTACAAAGAAATAGGCTTGTGCAATCCAATGCGGTGTGATACTAGCAAGTGATACATGATTCGCATTTGATAAGCCCGATGAAAAGCATACTGTTCGGAGTTCCACTAAACAACTGATCGATACATGCATGCACATGTGCATACCGCGCAACTTTACGCAGACGAAGTAGGCACATGGTTCGCCAATCAGGCCATGTCTTATAGCCGCGTGTGCATGACCATCTACGAGTAGTACTCGATGAACAGACTCGTGAAGTCGTAGGAGGATCATGCATACTCATACTCATGTACTCATTGGATGACTTGCAGCCGTAGCCAGCTGCAGAGTCAAATCATTGTATACCCCAGTCGATCACTGACTGGAGTGTTTGCCGATGGCTCAGGGTTTATAGAAGCAAGTGACCATCGTATATATAGCTCTAGCTGGCCAGTCTTGCGCACGGTATGTGGATATATAGCTCAGTAGCCAGATTTAGTATTATACACGGTATAAAACATCACTTTTCAGAGTACACCAGCTCAACGTGATGATAAACGCTGTGAATTATTGACTTGAGCGTGCTATATAGCGCATGCTTGACCGTTAAGATTACTCAACTGAGAAGATCTCATCATTGAACACGCATCTGTCTTGACTGAATTGAGCTGCCTCAAAGTCATGATTTCAAATTTGACGAGCTGGCACCAGTCAGAAAAGATATAGGGCCAGCATTGAGGTTAAGTTATGATTACGTGCCTAAGTGTCCCCGTTTCCAACTCTTTATATCCTCTCAAGGTATCTCGTAATCACCGCTTCAGGTACAGATTGTAGGACAGCTCAATGTCTTGGGTTTGCAGCGTGGATCAGTCATTGCCATACTCGATAGACCATCTTGGCTTCTCGTTAAATAGATTCACAGCAGGCAAAAGCGCTTGCAAGTCATGAGCCATTTCTGGATGCAGCACTTGCCCTACAATGTTCAGTTCAGAGAAGTTGGGCAACTTTTGGAGCACGTGGGCCAGCGACACAAGGTCCTCCCATTCCACCGTCCTTGTGAGGGTCAGAATACGCAAGTGCTTGAGCGGTTCAAAAAGGATGCTTTCCTTTCCTGTCCAGTCACACCCGAGCACCTCTATATTTGCCATCTTAAGGATAAGTATTGGCCAAGTTTCCTTTGGTATTACCAGTTCTTTAGGCAACTCTAGAGTGGTCAGAGAGGGGCAGCGCTCAAGAAGAGCTGTCACTCCGGTTGTGAAGATAGACTTCTCATAATCATTGCGCAAACCCCTCAAGGCACCCAGGCTCAGTTCCTGAAGTAAAGGACAATGCTCTGCTACAGCGGCAGGAACACTGCTCACACCACGAGCCCCGTGAGTCGCCGTCAATGTCCTCAAGGACGGCAGCCGGCAGGCGAGGGCAATGTCCGCCTCATCCGTTGAGCGGATAAGACATAGTTTTGGCGCAAGGTAGAGCGCCTCCAGGTTTGGAAATTTTTGCGGTATCAAGGACAAGGAGTCCTTTGTCAGACCTTCTCGCAGTGTCCCTTCCGAACGATAGGAAGGGAATTGTTTGCGACTGTGAACGCCGTCAAGATCAAGTTCCTTGAGGCCAAGCATGCAAGGCAGGCTTTCTAAGAGTGTCGCCAAAGTGCCTGATTCAGTACGCGTCAGCCTCATCACAAGGGTCTCCAGTTTTGCTGAACCCATCAAAGCCAGCCTTAGATCGTCAACATCCACTTGGCAACCCGCAAGCACGAGGCTCATCAGGCTGTCGCTGGAGGCTGACAAAAATCTGGCCATAGTTGCTGAATCTGAGGCAGTGTTATTTCACAGTATGCAGCTCCACAGAGAACCACGCCCTCGACGACAGCAACTCGTACTGCCTTTCAAAGCCACTCGGGTTGCCGGTCCCCACAATCTCAAGCTCTGCAACATGCGGGTAGTTCTGGAGAGCCTCCCTGAGGTGGACAGACTTGCCAGCCCCCGACGCAACCACCAGCGTGGTGCAGGTACCTCGAGCATAGTCCCGCCACTCTCGGCAAACGAGCTTGCATTGTGCCCAAGTCGTTGCCCTCTGGTCCTTATGTCCCAGATCCCGTTCGACAGCAAGGTTGAGAATCCGCGAGAGAAGCTCTTGGGGAAGCGCTGCGAATGAAGATGGCTGATCAGGAACAAAAGATGCAGGCGCAGCAACCTGCGACAACGCCGCAGCGCAATGGAGGCGCTTGCCCTCCATTCAGCGCTGTTAGGGATAACGTTCCGCTGGCTGAAGCCTGAAGGAGCCAATGTATAGTGGAACAAAAGAACGCTCCCTATTGAGCACTCCCTGGCTCCTAAGCTTTGGTTGAGAATGCTGTGCCAGCATGCACAGCTGGCAGCAGGATCAAAACGAGGAAGACGTCGCGCGCGCGTGGCCGCAGCAGCAGTAATATGATGGTCGGACTCGATGGACATGCACGGTCACACTGGCAATGGCATCAGGCGCCGCGCTCCAGCGGCTACGTCGCCATCTGAAAGTGCCAGCACAGGTTGGCACGTGGCTAGGTGAACCTCGCCCTCAGGCGGCCGCGATAAGCCGCGCACGCGATCGGTCGACGATCGGCGCGCCGGGCCGCGACCGTGTCATGGTCACGTTCAATCTTTCAGTGTTGCCAGTGACACCAAAGTTCTGGCTAAGAAAGAGCTGCGCAAAGGGCGATTTGACGTATGCCTTTCTGAAACTTTAAGCATAGAGAAGGAAATCAGGAAAGCAGCGCAGGGGAACGTCGGCTGAGGACAAAATACACCAGAGCTGCACAGTGCGCACCAGGATATATCATAGCCGTGAGGGCCATCGTTTTCCTTTGAAGTTGTTGTAAGTAGAACATCAGTGGGCACCAACACCAATATTGTGATGGTTGAATTCATCTGCACCTGCCGTTGCGCTAGAGAGACCCCAGTGTGAAGAAGAAGCAACACTGAGGGCTGCCGATCCGCAGTACGAGCAGCCGGGAAACCGGGTTCAGACCCTTTCAGCGGGAAGATTCCTGAGTACTTTCAAGTGAGAGTCTGTGAGCGAAAAAGCATATGTGAGTTGGCTTCTTTCACAAGGCAGCTGACCTGCTACCTGCATTCCGTGTCAGAAGCACGTCAGAAGACGGTGACAAAACCTGTGTTGGAGCTCACGTCAGGTCGGGCGGCATGTCTGTGAACGACGTCAGCAACATCCATTACGAGTGCGTCGGAGCAGCGGAAGCCCGCCAAGACTTCGACCTCCTCCGCGCCTGCTCGGAGCTCTTCACCGGGCACTATGGGGTTTGGGGAGAGAGCGCATCCAGGGTCGGCGCGCGGCCGGGCGCGCGCGTGGCCATGCGCCCCGGGCGCCTCCGGGACACGTGTCTCTTCGACGAGGACACGTGTTCGCTCGTCGTGGCGAAGGAGGCGGGGCGCCTGATCGGCCACGCCTTCGTCTGCACGTTTCCGGCGTTCCCCTTTGACCCTCCTCTCGAAGGTGACTGGGACGTCCAGTGCCCTGCTTCTCCTTCTGATGTTCTAAGTGAAGTATTTGGCCATTGTCCTGACCCATAAGACTGGTTTGAGACGCTAACTGACGTGTCCTGCTCTGTGTCCGCAAATTCTTAAGGCGCTCGAATTTCAAGAGGTGGCCTTGAAAGTAGCTTTCCTTGAGATTATTATTCTCCATGACGGCACGTGTATCGGAACCGAGCCATTTTGAAACAGGCTTCCCGTGCATCGAGAAGAGTCTGTTCCCCTTAAGCCACACTGATTTGGATAAACATGTAATGTGCAGATTCCCGCGCGCTCAGCGATGGCCGGATATTTGACTATCGTTCCTCAGGTGTCCTCAAACAATTTTGGCGTATCTGCAGGGACCGTTGTCTGGGTCACCCAGCTCGTCGTCCACCGAGACTACCGCCACCGGGGGATCGCAACCGAGCTGTGCCGCCAGGCGCTCGCGCGCGCACAAATTCTCGTGACGAAGCCCCCAGTCACTTACTTCGGCCTTGTGTCCTCTCACCCGTATGCCGTGCGTTCAATTGAGAGGGCGGGCGGAGTGACGTGTCGTCCTTGGCAAAGCGAGGGTCTGGCAAACGCATTGGTTGCGGCCAGCGGCATACCATATGTTCAAGGGAAAAGGATCGATCTAGATGAGCGGTGCGTCATTCAAACGGATTTTTTCGTCGACCATTCGGAAGTCGACCGGCTGGCGGAGGCGGAACAAGACTGGCGTCTTGGGAAGCTTGAGGAAGGGGAGGAGTATTTTGCCTTTGCTCGTTTGCCCTCCGACCGTGAAGCATCAAAGTATTGTCAATAGCCACGTAAGTAAGGAGTCGCCAGCTGGCTCGCGATCGTTGTCCAGGCGCCCATGTCTCAATCGTCTAGCGCACAAAGAAGACTGATGCTAAAAGTAAATTGTGGTTCTAATCCTGATTTATGTCAGTGCAGGGTTTTTGGCCACTGGTCGGGATTCGCCCATCTCCTTGCGGAAGGCAAATATACAAGAGTCGCGACAGATTGGCAGCTTCACTCCGCAAGCTCTTCCAATTCTTGGATGTCATTCAACCGGTGCATATTCTGCAATATCTGGCCGTCGAAGATTCATAATGTGATGTTGCACACCAAACACGTGAAGCTGTAGCACGCCGATCATCATTTCAAACATGATCTGGGGCATGTGCTTAATGATTTGTTAGTATAGTGCCAGTGGCTAGATCAGTTGCAGAACCCCCTGCTCTCCTGCCGCTACCCGTTTGATCAAGGTCTCCTGCAGCGTGCTTGTAGTCGACTCCGTGCAACTTTTGAAAGCCGCCTTGCTAAGGAACACCTACGCCCAGCTAAGCGAGAGGCTAACGTGGACACGGGTGCGGAGCATGATACAGACCATTCCCAATCTGTGGTCAAGCAGTTCTGTCGTACGCCCGGTTGCCGACCATCTCCTGCATATTGCATCATTCAAAGTATCAGGCCACAAAGACTGTCGGTTCATAGGTCGAGTTTACAAACAGGGTTTGCAGCCAGCTTACAGATGTAATCAGCCTAAGCTCTTCGGCCGCCAGAGAGTCGTACGTTATCAACAACCATTGCGGCGCCGCCATGCCCTCAAAGTTCGTCGCGATTCCGCTGGCTGGCTCAACAACCACTGGATTATTCTCCTGCCCTGAACGGAAGTCCGACGGATAAAGCTCTTGCCTAGCTTCCGATCGAGGGTCTATGATGGAAGCTTGCCGTTTCTGGAGTCGATCGCCGTGCTTCAGCGTGTAAGCACCGCTAAACGCAGGCTGAAATATTCTTCAGTAACGTTGTACTAGCTGAACAGCGTCGCCGGCGCTAATCCGGTCTTGCGGTGCAGCGCCCCCTTTCGACCGTCTGATTTGCAGGCGAGTGAAACACACACAAGCCTGAGGCCTAGTGACTTCTTGGGCACTGCACAAACCCACGGTTAAGCTGCGGTGTTTGCCAATGATCATTGGACTGTAGTTGCGATTCATTCATCAGAACGTATGAACGTACATCATGCACAAGCAGTGACCGACACATGCACGTGCGCTCAGGTATTCCGTACCTCATTGAAGGCAAATTGCATTAAATCGTCACGTACATGTACATGAGTGCACCAATAATTGAGGCTGTTAGCGCGCCGCCCCATACTGCGCAAGCTAGCGAAGTTGTCCTGGTCCAGGATATAGGCCAATGTTAGTAATTTGTACTTGGCATTGCTGAGGTATCATGGCAGCCGGCCGCGCCTCGCAGCACTGACACATGAGCGGGCCCGCCCGAGCTGTGCGCAACCATTTACCATTTCACGGTTTGTACAGACAGTGACAAGCTTCAAAGATTCACGATCAGACATGGCGGCTCGTCAAATACAAAAAGAGTCTTACTTTACTCATAGCTTGCGCGAACATTCTTTGAGATCCGGATTTCGCATGACATCAGCTGCTGAATGATATTCCTACCAGCCCTCATGTCCGTCACTCAAAGATTCTCGACCCGTCCACTCCCGCATGTTGATCGTGCCCTGAGTGTGGACTAGGATCATCAGAATGTCGAATCTGCTGCACGGTGCCGGCAGTACACTTGTGAAATATTTTACAAGTCTTCTACATCGCTTTCCTGGCCGGTCTGTGCAAAACTTCCCGTCCGACACAAGCGACCAATGCGTAAAGCTGCCGAGAAACTTTGAAGCGAGAGAAGAAGCAACACTGAACCTATGACTTTACACTAGCGAGGCGGGCTTGAAGCGACTCCAGCTCTGCATCTTCGTCCTCCTCGCCCTCCGCAACCGCTTGGGCCTGGACGAGAAAAGCGAAAGGCTGAAAACCGCCCGAAAATGCTGAATGCAAGATTGAGAGTCAGCGAATGCTCCGGGAGTGAACGTACGATAGACAGTCTGATCAGAGTCGGGAGACAGCAGGAAAAACCCGAGTCAAAGAAGAAGGCAGGGAGTCATCGCTGCCTCGCCTTTTGAGCCGTCCGCTCGTTCGACGATCGGGTCGGCACTTCAAACGGTTCTACCTTCTCAATCGGGTTTATCTTGGAGCACAACAACCTGGCACGTGCACTAGCTGACCTACCCCTCCCCGGAAGAACCGCATATGCAACAAAAGGTCCTTAACTAGTTCCCTAACGCCAAAAACGCAGAAAGAAGTTGAATCCAGTGAGGCTTATTCACCAAGTGGACCTAGTCCAGTCTCAATGGGAGACCTTTTCAAGCCTGAAAGGTACAACAGGCAAAGTCAAATCTCGCTCAACTTCCGCTACAGCTCGGCAACGGCTGTCTTTATTGGTAGCCTAATAAGCCTATGCACCCCTTGGTCAGGTATCAAGACAACCCGCTAAACATTTTCACCTCACCCGGTTTACAAGGCTGGCTTTCTTGGAAGCCACGATCTCAGGACGAAAGGCAACAGATGCCAGACAAGAAGGGTCTGAACGGGGCTATAGTTTTGACAGCGTCCTTGGCGCAAAGAACTGCAGACTCGAATCACCTCTCAACCCTCTGGGCGGCCCCCTTTGCTTACGTCCCAAGAGTAGGAGACTTTCTCGACGAGGACACTGTAATTCATCGGCAAAAACCGCCGTTGTTCGGACCACAAAAACTTCAGAAGGAAACGGTACGAGCCTCGTCTAAAATCTGAAAGCAATCGAACTTTCGCAGACGCCTGAATAAGCAGAATTGTATCGCTCTATGCAGCCAGGAAGAAGGTCCGTACCGGCTGCTCCTGTGCGGCGGCGGGCTGCTTCTCTTTCTTTGGTCGCAATCCCGCGGCCGGCAGTTGACTCGTGTACTCGCCAGCAACTTCGTCGAGCACCTGTCGGCAAAATACAAGTTGCTTTCTGCATCAACCCAAAAGGCTCCAAGTCTCCATTGATTTCCGGATAGAGTACACGCTTCTTCGCTCATTCCTCGACTGAGTACCAACCGTCCCGGAACTTGAACATCTGATGATGTAAGGCCTTGTCGTTGGTTCTGAAAGTCAAAGACCAGGAACGAGTTCTCAAGCTTCAGGCGATGAAACGTTAGCAACCCTGCAATGCCATGGCTGGAATAAAGATACGAGGGGCCTCCGTCAATGGCGATTTGCTGAAGGACAGCGCAATGCATGACAGTAACGCCAATCTGCTCTGCCCTGACATTGCCTTCAGGAAAAGGGTGGCTTTTCGCCTCTATTTATTACGCTCGCCTTGACTATTACGAACCAACCAAAAGGTGCAGGGTTTCGGGCTCAGTCTCTATTTCCAAGCAGAAAGGTTTTTGTCCCCGCTAACGGGCGAGGCTTCCAAAAGGGCATTGTGGTGTTTTCGTGGCCAGTCTGCTCGCAATTCTGAAAGCGAGTTCCCGGTGATCGATGTCAGAGGCTTGGAGTAGATGCAACAAAAGTCGCGATGAAAGTAGACACGACGAAAGGCGCCAATAAAAGAGATGGGATAAAAAGGCGGCTCACCTTGTTCAACTCTTCCTCCGTCTCGGCCTCCGTCTCCTCGTCGTCCAATACGTCATCCAACGTGTCGCTGACCATCTCCTCGATGACGCCAGCCTGCAGGGATGACGTCAGCAAGGCGTAAGCGGATCGCGCAGGGCCCGGTCATCAACCGAAATTACTGCTCAAGGAAGAGACTGCTCATGGAGCGTACCGCGACTGTTTGATAGCATGGTCACATCTGAGCCTTGGAATATACTCGGTAGTTGCCCTCTTCAATTCTACGGTACCAAGACTGCCTTCCCGAACACATCTGCCATGAAAATTCGGTACTGACAGGAACACTCTTCATTTTCGACGATATCCGGGTAACAAACTGCCAGCAGTCCACGTACGCAGCCGACGAGAAGCTCTAGCTACCAAAACCTCTTGCGAAGTATCAGAGAAAAGGGTCCGGCGGATTTCTCGGTATCTCGAAGGTTCGGTCCCAGGAAAGCCCACAATGTCACCGTCGCGACTCCAAATTGAGTAGATGTGACCATGCTTTGAGAGACGCCTCGACGAGGAACAGACGACAGGATGCAGGATAAAGGTTGTCCTGTGAACGACGCAAGGGGTCTGGAGATGAACCCAAACCGTCCACAAAACAGGTGGAAGAGCAAACACAAAGTATAATCGGAAAAAGTGATGCCAGAAGAGAACACTATGAACCGACAACCATTATCTATTGACGAGAAGAGCAAGACAAAAAGCTTCACGCCGTGAGCAAGTAAATACGAAGATCAAAAACCAATTCGTTTCCGCACACTTCCACTACTTCTTCTGGAAGGGACTCGCTGATCCTCGAGGGGTCAGCCAACGGACGGCCTTCCGAAGGAGAAACGGAGCGACAAAGGAAAACGTGAATGCAAACAGGAGACGAGCATCATCTCCTTGGACAGATCCGTCATATTTCACTAGATTTCGGGCACCGTCGTAAGCCCATTTACGAGCGTCACGGCTCTAAGATAAAGGAAGGAGAAACCAAAAGATCTGAATGATGCCGAAGAAGGCTGAACGAGAGAACGTTACAGACTTACCTTCATCATCTCCTTGGAAAGCTCCATCATGTTCTGCTGGATTTCGGGCACCTTCAGATTCAGAGGCCGTTCACAAGCTTCTTGACTTCATGAAACCAAACGGAGAGAGGAAAAGAGAGGAGAATGTGGAAAGCGACCTGATGAGAGAATTCCAAAATCAGACCGAAGCACCGACTCACCTTCGTCATCTCCTTGGAGAGGTCCATCATGTCCTGTTGAATCTTGGGCACCTTCAGAGGCCGTTCACGAGCTTCTTGTCTCCATAATCGAAAGGAGGGAACGAAAGAGGTGAGAGTAAGAGGAAGAGACCTAATAAGGAACTTCCAACACCAGATTGGAACACTGACTCACCTTCATCATCTCCTTGGACAGGTCCATCATGTTCTGCTGGATCTCGGGCACCTTCATGAGGTTGTTCACAAGCTTCATGACCTCCGTCGACTTCTGCAGGTGCCCCACCGCGCGCACTGTCGCAAAGCTCTCTCCCAGGTGCATGCTCACGCTGTTGAGCTGCGCCTTGTTGTTGTACAGCTTTGTGACTACCCGCCGCGACTGCACGATCTCCCGCGCAAGACTCTGCAATCGAAAGAAAGATCCAAATAAGGAGATTTGATATTCTGAGGCGACGAGAATCCAGGCAGGAGTTCGTCACACCCTGCGTTGACCGCAGGATCTTCAGTGTGGATTCTAGCGAGGGCGAGAGGCCATAACTTCTTCATCAGCATATCAAAGGAAGCTGAGCAAAACCGAGCAGACCAATTGGAAACCATTCAGCTGTGCCTTGATTTGTACCATTCGCCAAGACCTGGCGTGGCTGGGAGATCCCTGCATCAGGTCTCTGCTCCACAATGCCTCCTGTCAGCATTTTGTGTACAGAGGGATTCACCAACTTCTATGATTTTCCTTCCACTCGTTGGTCACCGACTGAGCATCCTTCTACGGTGGCACTGGTCAAATGCAGCACAACCACTCAATCCCACATACTAGACTCTCCATATCGGGCAGGGCCTAAAAGTATGCCCAACTTTTGCAGAAACCAGATGGAAAAAAAGCAGCTCTTAAGCAATCCACGTGTCGACCTGCAGGATGATTATCTGCCCATAAGGTTTGAGCTTCCTTGGAGAGGGTCTCAGTCAAAGGTCGGACTTCCTTCCGAAGGTCTGATCTGCAGGCGGCTTCTTCCCCCCGCTTTGTTTCCTTCTGGGACCGCGTCCTTTCTTCTTCTCCATAAAAATGTGGTGGACGCGAGGACTCAGTGGACTCACAACGTGATGCAATAGATTGAGTAGTGGACAGCATGCTTCCTGTCAACAGGGAGGTCGGAAAGCCAACTCCAGACGCAGACAACTTGCCTTTGCTGATGTCATGTCATTTCGCTTTGCGGCTTCCCTTATGGACTTCTGCACGTTCTTCTCCTCCCTTTGAATCTCTGCAAGGTGGGGGATCGGTGTTTAGCCACCAGATAATCACTCTTAGGAAAGGGACCGCCCAAACTCTGTGCGCTTCTGTACGCTATACTGGTCTACGGTGCGAGCTTCCAATCACTAGCAGACGCTCCCCCAAACTATGAACTGCACAAACGCACTCGAGCTCTGATTTGCTTCCTCAAGATTCCTCCGCTCTGTTCCAGGTCCTTCTTCTCCGCCCAGCAGTGGCAACCCCCCGTCAAAACCCTAAAATTTCAAACCCTAAAGCCCCAGAATCTCCAGACTCACCTCTGATCTGCCGGTCCAGGCTCCGCTGCTCGGACCGTAGCCGGGACTGCCACTCTCGGACCTGCTCCTTTGGCGTCTTCTTTTTCTGGAACATGCCTGTGATCTTCTCCATTGCGGCTGAAAATGATTGCCGCGTAACAGGGGGTGTTGCCAGAGAGTTGGACTATAAGTTTAAGCTAACAGGAAATGAAGCGGTTGGGCAGATGAGCAGCTAACTCAAGAAGTAGGGGATTGCGATGGACAACTTACTACTTCATAAACTGCTGTCTTGCCAGCAACCTGATGAAGAGCAAAACTTGTGTAACATGTGGTTATCTACATTGTGTTCCTTCCTTTGAGCACTGAACTAGCATAAGCATTATAAGTTTGGAACGTACTGCCACGGCCCTCTACAGTCTGGTACAAATATACTCAGAGCCCTTTTACAAAATGAATGCAGAGAATCTTCTAAAAAGCTTGTCTTCCAGCCAAGCAATGCAGAAACGCGGACTCAGAGCGTTTGCACCCGCACTGTTCTGACATTCAATTCTATCTTCTGCTATACACCTGTAGCTTTGAAAGTAGCTCACTTATTTAAGCAGTGCAACCGTCAGCCCTCTTTGACTGCTCAGCTAGAACCCCAATTTCTCTTTATGTTACCATGGGTCTGCGCTCTCTTGGATATAGGGTAGTCTGCCAGCTGTCAAACGATAGCCGTTCACTGCATAGTTCGCCAAGGACTGAGATGGTCTAATGGAATGTAGGGCAGAAGGAGCCCGTCTTTTACCTGAACAACAAGAACCTCGTGTAGCAAGGAGGGGTCAAAGCGTTGGGGATTCAAGAAAGGGTGCGCTTCCCCAGAACTGTGGACAGCATTTGGTCCTCGAACTTCAACTTCAAGTCCAGGACCGCAGCTGTGCACAGCAATGCCAGCATGCATGAGAAGCGCAAGATTTGAACAGCAAGAAACTTGCCGGGGAGCAGATGGATGTCACCGGGGGGGCTGGTGCTGAGCAGGCAAACCCGTTTGAACCGGCAGTACCGGCGGCAAACAAGGTAGGGCGGCAGTAAGGAGGGCGCAAATAACGTTGAATTGAACGTTTCCCGGCTTTCTGACTCGAAGAAAGCTCGCCCCCGGGGCGAAACCAACCGAGGGCAAAAATCGAAGGCAAAAAGTCAGCCTTTCAAGTATTAACTGAACAGAATTTCTCGTTTGACCTCTCTTGAAGTTGAATCTAAGATTTTCAAGGGCTGAGAAAGAACGGGCGCTGACTCTGATGCCAGTGATGCGACGAGCTGTCAATGTGGGTTCCTGACATCAGGGACAAACCTCTCAACACAAGCATTTGAAGGTACACTTCAAACTGCTGTCCATCGGCACCAATGGGCTCCCCTCTGACAACCTCTGCTGCAACCAATCAGGCAATGACATCACCAGCCAGTCTGTGGCGAGCTGGCGCCGTCGCCGGCAGTCTCAGCCGACGCGTGGCTCGCTCAGTGCAACCTAATTTTGCCTTCTTCAACGCTCTTACAGCGATGCAAACAAGCCCAGTCAGCAGCCACTCCGGGAGCGGTTTGGCTTCGGGGGAGGCCGGGTTCCTCAAGGGAGGAGCGGTTAGTGGAGGGTCGAAAGATGGGGGTGTGGGTGTGGTAATGGTTCCTGGGGCGAGGAGAAATGTGGTGACCAATGTGGTTAGGGACGGGGTTACGGGGGGTGCGGAGAAGGTTGGGAAGCAGTTTGAGTGGGACGCAGAGGAGTTGCGGCGGATCCATGAGGAAAAGGAACGCTGGCTGAGGGAAAGGGAAGACAGGTGAGCGCTTGATTGTTCTTATGTGGTTTCGTGAAAACATGTCATTTGTACACTTTTCAACTTTCAAAGTACAGCTCAAACATCCATCGCAGCCATGGTGCTGTTCCTTTGTAACTTCTGGTTTTAGTCGGAAGTTTGTTGCTGTTCACTTGATGGGAGGGTGGTGCAAAGTAAGAACTGGAAAAAGTCAAGAAGCTGGTTTGCGACTGGCCATGCCCTTCTGTTTACGTAGAGCTTTACAGTTTCCATCACTTATGCAGCAATCTAGTCGTGTTGCTGCAAGTGTCCGTGCCAAACCCTAATCTGCTGTTCAGTGCACGTATTTCTGACTTGTGAACCCCAGCAAACTCGTCAACTGTCATTCGAATCCACAGATGGGAGCAAGTGGAACAGCAAGAAAAGCGGGGCGCCCGCGATGCTGCCGAGGAGGACAACGGCGTCATGTGGCCCAAGATCTCATCTGAGAAGCCCCGACCAGCACAGAAACCCCGGGCAGCCACCTCAACAAAATCTCCAAACCCTAAAACGGCACCCCAGTCAGCAGAACTAGACTGGACCGGCAAAACCTGGGGAAAAGCGGTAACGGAAGACGGCGGCGCAAGAAGGGACGATCAAAGGGGTCCACGGAGAAGCGGGGCATCGAACGCTGGGGCTCCTAGGGGGGCTTTCGCAAGCGAGGGGTTCGAGACACGAGTGCCGAACACTGTCCGGCCCGCCCCCTGGGAGAGAGCGGGGCGACCTGCCGCTGTCGATGGGGGTGGTGATGCTAGCAGGGATCGTGCAAGAGCAGCTAATGTCAGCAGGGAGCGGCGGCAGGGAGAAGCGGGTGGTGCTTTTGCAATGCCGAGGAGGAAACTGTCGTATGAGAGAGAGGGGGCGGGGGATGGGGTGCCGGCGAAGGAGTTGCCCGGCACTTCAAATGCGAACGTGCTCTTGGGGAGGAGCCTAGAGGAGCTGACAGCGTTTGCCGTGGAGCAGGGGGAGGTGAGGCAAACCCTCGGAACACCTTGCTCCCATGCACTCCTTTATGTTTTTTTGAGGAACAGCTTTGTTGTTCAAGAAGTTTTCTGTCAAGGTAGGCACAGTATTTTTGCATGAGCAACTGTTTGCGGCAAAGTTTGACTTGGCAGGCTGGGGCTCGCAAGCCCGCAGATTGCTGGTGTCAAGGCCGTCTTGTTTATATGATGGCAGCTTCACTGAGCTCGAAAAGTCCGCCTTCAGCAGTTGCACTATGGAAGACCAAGACTGGTCATGCAGTTCTCAGCATTGTAGCATTCTGTGGTGGCCCTTGTCCCCTGGTAAGGTCAAATTTCGTTTTCGTGGCGCCCTTACCTTTATGTTATTAGTCGGTGGAAGCCTTGCGCTAGTGGGAAGCAGTCGTCTTAACCCTTCAGCAATCTGAAATGGCCGCAGTCAAGCCTTTTGTGGACAACTTCCTTCCTTGACAACCTTCTTACCACTGCAGCCAAAGTTTCGTGGCCAGCAGCTGCACGACGCCCTGTACAAGCAGAAGGTGCAGGACTGGTCGCAAATCACAGGACGTAAGTGCCTCGTTTTTTTGAGGATTTCAGGATTTTAGATGTGTATGGTTGACCGTATATGATTCAAAAGGGGGAGTTGGCTGCACCCC